GCAATGTTTTATTCCATCATGCCGAAACCACGCTTATGGTATGGAGAATTTGCCAAGCACTCGCAGGTTGAACGCTTGCTCAAATTGCCTCAACATTAGTCCGGTTTGTTATGGGTTTTTGGAACGCTCCATCTCCTTCCTGTAAAAACTGTATGACATAATATCTCAATTATATTGTAGTAGCAATTATCCCCAATCATATCCTGTTGTAATACGTGTTGTGGAACAGGATAGCTGAGGTCATAAAAGAACAGATACTAGTAAATATAGAATTGCAGTAAAAATTCCAATCCTGTAATGCACAGTGGATGTCGTCAGACCATAGACTAAAAGCACAGGGTGATTGACACAATGAGCGACACTAGTTCAGTGTGGCCTGTCCAAGATTGGTGGGAATCACACTCCCAGACAAGAGGTGTTATTTGATGACATTCATATTAGTAATATGCTGGGAGACAATCACATAGTCTCTGTCTCTTGGCATATCAGTAACAGGAGAAAGGCTGAATGAATGACAGCACTTGCATAATGCTGATGCTTTACAGCGGGTATGTCCAACCTGCGGCCCGTGAGACGCACATGGCCTTGAACTGCTTGTAATACAGCCCAGTGGCCCGGCGGTGAGGGAGGCATGGAGCCCATTACTTACTGTGCTCTTTCCGCTCAGCTCCCTCACACGCCCTGCCGTCATCCCGGCATCGGTATCACTACTGGGTGCGCTAGAGACCTGTGCAGGAAGAGCACAGTGATCCCATCACAGCAGCAACCACTAGCCACCAGGGAGAGGATCTACTCCAGCCCTCCCAGAGCAAGGTAGTGAGGCTAGGTTGGTCTCTTAATTACTAAATATGTGTGTATGCCAGTAATTATGTGTGTCTGTGATTGTATGTGTGTGGGTCTGTGATTGTGTTTGTGTATGTATGTGATTATTATGATTAACTGTATGTCTGTGATTGTGTATATAGGTCTGTGATTGTGTTTATAGGTATGTGACTGTATGTATTTGTGTGTCTGTTATTGTATGTGTATGTGTCTGTGATTGTGTTTATGTTGGTGTGTATATGTCTGTGATTGTGTGTATGTCTGTGATTGTGTGTGTGTATAGGTCTGGCCTGTGATTGTATGTGTGTATAGGTCTGTAATTATATATGTGTGTGTGTGTGTCTGTGATTGTGTGTGTATAGGTCTGGCCTGTGATTGTATGTGTGTATAGGTCTGTGATTATATATGTGTGTGTGTGTGTATATCTCTGATTGTGTGTGTAAGTGTATATCTGTGGGTATGTGTGCCTGTATCTACATGTGCATGTTTTTAGTAAATAGCTCCCTAATTTGGTATCCTTAACTATGGCAATCTCACATAAGGATAACACATATGGATCTTTTCTTTTTAAAATTAAGAAAAGGCCTTTTGAAGTTGTATTATATAAATTATATATTTTATTTGTGGCCCAAGACAATATCTCTTCACTCAATGTGACCTAGAGAAGCCAATAGGTTAGAGTGGGCAAAATGGCCCATATCTGGTGGTTCTGCCCCAAGTTAATTAATTATTGGAAAATGATTCATGATCTAATTATTAAAGTAAACAGAACCATTAGCATCTTAACTTCGGAACTAGCCTTATTTAAAAAACTCCCGGAGTCCGTTAATAGTTCAGATAAAATAATCATAGGCCACATTCTGATCGCTGCTACATCCTGTTTACCTAGACATTGGAAGTCCCAAAATGTGCCATCTCTCAGAGAAGTTTTTAATTTGATTCTAGAAAACAAGGCACATGAATTATCACATAGAGCTAAAATGCATGGTTTCCCAATACTAAAATATAAATGGGAAGAAAAAAATCAAAACAGTTTATGGTCTTTGATATATTTATTGTTAAAGTGCATTGATGTAAAAAATTTTTGCCATATACTTTATTATGTTTATTTCCATGATGGATGGATACCCCTTCCCATTTCCAAGTTACCCTTCCTTTCCTACCCCTAATACAATGTTTGTATTACTATCACTTGTTATACAAAATTTTTTAAAACTTTAATAAAATTATTTGAAAAAGAAGCCAATAGGTTGGACACCCATTAGAGTGTAACTCCCTCCAATCTCAGGCAGGCTGATACATTATAAATAAAAGATACATAATATTTTCTTGAGGTTCAGAAGATGTTCTTGAACCATTGGCCCTTTGTTATCCTGTACGCACCCACAAATAGTTATCAAGGTGTACATGATGTGTTTTGACTACAGTGTTGCTCTATAGACAGTTACAGTGCTTTCGCTTTCCTTGGTTACTTTGCAAACTATGCCATTATGCACAGCATTACAAGTCCACTATCACATCAGTTGACTCTGAGTATCTAGGTGAATGGTTTGTTTGGTATAAAGTTTAAAGTGAGAACAGTAATATTTATTGTGAGAACGAGGACACTCTAAGCACCCGAACCAATACATCTTAAAGAGTTACTCCAACAAAAAAACAGTGTTTTTTTTTAAGCGTAACCCTTGCTGTGCTGGTCTGCCCCCCAAATCCCAAGTTCCTCCTTAGCCCATTCCTTCTCTGGAGAGCCCAATCCTCCTCTGGAGTCACCCTCTCTAGCCGAATTTATAGAAACATAGAATGTGACGGCAGATAAGAACCATTCGGCCCATCTAGTCTGCCCAATTTTCTAAATACTTTCATTAGTCCCTGGCCTTATCTTATAGTTAGGATAGCCTTATGCCTATCCCACGCATGCTTAAACTCCTTTACTGTGTTAACCTCTACCACTTCAGCTGGAAGGCTATTCCATGCATCCACTACCCTCTCAGTAAAGTAATACTTCCTGATATTATTTTTAAACCTTTGTCCCTCTAATTTAAGACTATGTCCTCTTGTTGTGGTAGTTTTTCTTCTTTTAAATATAGTCTCCTCCTTTACTGTGTTGATTCCCTTTATGTATTTAAATGTTTCTATCATATCCCCCCTGTCTCGTCTTTCCTCCAAGCTATACATGTTAAGATCCTTTAACCTTTCCTGGTAAGTTTTATCCCGCAATCCATGAACCAGTTTAGTAGCCCTTCTCTGAACCCTCTCTAAGGTATCAATATCCTTCTGAAGATACGGTCTCCAGTACTGTGTACAATACTCCAAGTGAGGTCTCACCAGTGTTCTGTACAATGGCATGAGCACTTCCCTCTTTCTACTGCTAATACCTCTCCCTATACAACCAAGCATTCTGCTAGCATTTCCTGCTGCTCTATTACATTGTCTGCCTACCTTTAAGTCATCAGAAATAATCACCCCTAAATCCCTTTCCTCATATGTTGAGGTTAGGACTCTATCAAATATTCTGTACTCTGCCCTTGGGTTTTTACGTCCAAGATGCATTATCTTGCACTTATCCACATTAAATGTCAGTTGCCACAATTCTGACCATTTTTCCAGTTTACCTAAATCATTTGCCATTTGGCTTATCCCTCCTGGAACATTAACCCTGTTACATATCTTAGTATCATCAGCAAAAAGACATACCTTAAGTTGTCAGGGAAGACAAGCTAAGTGGAAAATATAGGCGGCACAGATGAGGGCGCATGGATTTCTGACGACAGGATGCTGTGTGTGCTGGTGTCAGACATTCAATATGCACAGAATTGATATTAGAGTACCGGGCTAGCTAATGGCACCTCAATGACCTAAACACGGAGCTACATCTCTGCTAGAAAATGGTCAAACTCTTATGTGCCTTTGTCTAGTTTGCCCAGATATTGTGTAGTTTGAAGATTGATTTTACTTGGGAATTGGCTTTCCCTGTTTTGCATTACCTCTTTCTCTTAAAACACACATTCTCAGTGTCTGAGAAACATACACATTCTCACTGACGATACAAATATTCTCTCTGAGAGAGAGACACACACACATTCTTTATGAGAGACTAACACACACACACTGCTACACACAAACATTCTTACTGACAGACACACACACACCTACTGATAGACACAAACATTCTTACTGAGAGACACATATTCTCACTGACACACATTCTGTCACAGTTTTCCTGTGCCATCCAGGTGGCTAGGCGTGGCCACTCCACAGGGGCCTTAGAGGGGAATTGATCCTGGGTCCTTCTGTATCCTAAGGCTGCTCTTCTGTCTCTGAGCCACTTCTGAACTTCCTGTTTACCTGGCCTTGTCTGCAGCACTAGGGGGCTGGACTTCTCCTTTGATTACTACCTGTCTCTTTAAGTCCACTTGTGGCATCCTGCAAATTGGCTGCTCTTTACCCAGCTATATAACACTGCCTCTCCATGAGGGCCATGTCAGTTCATTGTATCCTGTTTCCTGTAACTTAAGACTGACTTGGCTTGTGACCCCTGCTTCTAGATCTTCGTTATTGCCTGTTCACTGCCTGCCCTGACCTTTGGAACCTTGCCTGACTACTCTCCTGGATTTGCCCTTGTCTTTTTCCTCGTACCTGGTTATTGTTTCTGCCAAGCCCTCGATTTAGCTTCTTACCTGGTTACCGTGGGTTGTGTTTATCTGCAAGGGTGAGCAAACATCTCTGCACTTTGGACTCCACCCAAGGTAAGACCGTGACACATTCTCACCTGACAGACGCACACTCTCACTCACAAACACACACTCACTCTGATACTGACACACACTCACTAACATGGAGCAAGATAAAAAAAACCTTGCGACCTTTTGCCCCTCCACACCATACATTTGGGCAGTGTAGGCACCTGCCGTCCAGATAAACAGATGCCTACTCCGCCTTAGCGCATAGCCACTTTTGTACCTGCCTCGTGGGGCACCCTGAGGTAGCCAGCTGGGTCTTGGGCCCCCATGATATAACACAGAGGGTTCAGTGGAATTTGCGACCTTTGCGACTCCTGAAGTTCCGTCACTGCTTTCAATGCGATGTTTCTTCGCAGGGACTTGCTTGCAAAGCTGTAATTTTCTTGTAATAATTCACTAAAACAGGAACTGCAGAGAAATGGCAAATAATCTGCAAATACCCAGAGTAAAACATCTGAAATAAAAAAAGTTATAGAGTTTTTCAAATGTGACTGTTTGTTTATGTAAAATGTTCAATTTTCTTGTCACTTACCAATAATCCTAAGTGAACTAAACTCCCTCCTCTAGGTAAATTCGATGCTAAGTGTGCAATAAATCATACAGAGATAGGCAAGTGATGACAGTGGGATATTTATTGTGTTTATCTAACAACTCACCCCAATCCACCCGCATCCATCAAACAATCAGTTCTGTATGCAGAAGTGTGATGTATCACCCTTATTTTTCCCTTATTTTTCTCTGCAAATAGGTCTGAATGAGGAGTATGACATATTTGCGACGCTGTGCATCACGCAAATATTTACCAGCATTAGCTGCGTTTCCAGTGTACATTTTTACGCCTTGATTCAAACAGAAAACACACGAGCTTAGCTACAGAGTGGAAAGAGATGGATGTTGGATGGATGATGAACAAAATGGACTTAGAGGACAGTGTGATTCATTCAGATTTTTTGATATAGTATCTAGGTATTCTATAGATATTTCCTGGCTAATCATCACATATCCTGCAGTGGCACTAACCACTCTCTCATGGGCCTTAAGAGTGTGGATTGCAAATCTAGAGGAGGATATTGACTGGGTAATCTGCAGAGAACATCTCCTGGAGAGTCTCAATGACTTCAGCCTTCCTACAGAATGTTGCTCAGATGCCTTTTTAGACATCACCCGCATGATTGCTAAAGGTATGGCCTTATCTGTGGCCTCTAGAAGGGCCTTATGGCTTAATTCGTGGGGAGCTGACTACGCCTCCAAGGCATCTCTGTGTGGCCTTCCATTCCAGGAGGATTTATTGTTTGGTCAAATTCTGGATGAAGCCATACAAAATGCGGCAGATGGCAAAAAGCTTTTTTGCCACAAGAAAGAAGGAAGCCTTTTTCCTCATCCTGGAAAAATAAACGTTTCAAGGATCGTTTTGAGATAGCAAAAGCTGTGAACCAGGAAGAGAATATTCCAGAGTTTCTGCTTGGAGAAGCTTCCCCCAGTAATCAGCAAAAAAAGCTTCCAGAGGGAGAGGTTCTAGAACATTTGAGAAGAACCTCTGAAGGTCTTCAAGCCCATTCAGGAATTGTAGGAGGAAGGCTAAGGTTCTTCTACCCTGTTTTGGCCGCATATTTCACAGATGTCTGCGTCAATTCCATCATAAAAGAGGGTTACAGAATAGAGTTCTCATCTTACTCAAGAACCGCTTGCTTCAGGACAGCAAGGGTATCATCGGGAACCAAGCGAAAGGCCATGATGGAACAAGGGGTAATAGAAGAAGTTCCAAAAACAGAGAGGTTCAAAGGTGTTTACTCCACAGTGTTTTGACTCAAAAAATCACAAGGGAAGTGGCGTCAAATTTTGTACTTGAAAGAAGTAAATTCGATGCTCGACGTGAGAACATTCAAAATTACAGACCATTATAAAATGCATCAAAAAAGGGGATTGGATGACTTCTATAGATCTGTGGGACATCTACTACCAAATCCCTATAAACTACGATCACGGCTGGCTTCTAAACCTAGAGAAGAGCTCCCTAATTTCTTCTAAAAAAATTGTCTTCCTTGGAGCAGTGATAGATACAATCTCAGCCCATGTGTTTCTCCCCTCAGAAAGGGCCCTGAGAATCCGAGGCAAAATCGAAAAATACAAATTCTCAAGAGGGCCTCAGCAATGAGTCTCCTAGGTTCTCTGACCTCAACAATTGGGCTGGTAAAATGGGCCCAATGGAAATCTCATCCTATGCAGAATTGCTTCCTTCTTCGATTCAACAGAGTAAAAGCAAATTGGGATCAAAGGATAACTCTTTCTTTTCTGGTAAGAAAAGGATTGAACTGGTGGAAGGGCAAAGAGAATTTGGCAGAAGGTTTCCCATTGGAGGAACCTTCTTGGAACATACTTACAACAGATGCAAGTTTTTTGGGATGGGGGGTCCATTTCAATTCAACATGGAAACAAGGGAAGTGGACCCGTGAAGAAAGCTGTCTGCACTCAAATTTAAGGGAACTAAGGGTCATATACAGAGCCATTTTGGTATTCCTTCCAAGGATCAATGAATCTTGGTTTGACAAACTCCCCTTTCCATGTGCGTTTGCCACGGGCTCCTGGAGGAGCCTGCTTGCCAGCCTCCTGCCCACAAACTATGGGTCCTGTAATATACACTGAAAAGTCTCAGTGTATTTGGACTATATGGTTCGGGAACCGAAGAGCCGCACGAACCGGAAACCACCCGGGAGCTTGTTAAGCCTAATTGCTAGCAATTCCCACTGCAGTGTTCTAAGTGTTTGGCTGGGAGGCCGCATTTCCTATTGACGACTACGAGGTGGCAGCCATCTTGTTTGCATGAACACAGGCAGCGGTGTTTGGTCGTTAAGTACATGGAACTATTTTCGGACACTGAAACTCCTGATCACCGCTGGACACCATTGCCTGTGTTCAGTTTTATAACACTTAGGAAGACACTGTTCGGTGGAAATGTTCCCACGAACAAGGGGAACAAGCTCCAGGGTAAGAATATTGACTATGTGCGGTAGTTTGTACAGTTTTAAACTATCAAACTAGACCGACCGCTAGCCCTGATTTTATAGAACTGTTTTGGGCAGGAGCCTCGTGTGCGGTCAGTCAAATTAAGACTTCCAGGAAATTCCCAAACCCCTGAACCGATGTGGGTGATTTTTAGATATGTTGGTCACCCAGATCGGGGCTATCAGGGGATATGACTTTTGTGGGGGTTTTATGTATTTTTAAGGTACTTTTGGGGTGTTTGTGAAATGTGTGTTTTTTGTGCCTGGAGATAATTGAGTTTAGTACAGTTCCTTACTCAATTATTTTCCAAACATAAGGGAGGGATTATCCTGTTTTCTGTGGGAGTGTCATGGGCGTGCTTGTCTGTGTTCAGAAATGTATAAAAGCAGGCTATCTGGCCAGATTAAACGTATTCCAATTTGAACTCCAGGCACTATGTGTAGTCTGGTTACTGGGAGGAGAAAGGGCTACTTTTTTATCACTGTTCCGGTGTGGAGGATTCAACGGGGAAAGTTCTTGTAAGGACTAGAGCTATCAGGACTGAGTGTCATCCAGTGCCTGGGGGTTGCTAGAGCGAGTTCCCCAGTCGGCTCCAGTAGGGAGCGGTTCCAGGACCCCAGTCAAGCTACGGCGACTGTGGGCAGAAGTGCTGTGGTTTGTCCCCTGTTCCTGCTAGGAAGCATTCCTTGGTGGAGGTACCCAGCCAGGGGTACAGGGAGCTCTGTTACACTTGGGTCCTGATCAAAACAGATAACTAAGCAGTTGCTTCGTACATGAACAACTAAGGAGGCACAAGGAGAAAATTCCTCTTGAAGGAAATGTATCCCTTGATGGAAGTGGCCATGAACAGTCTTCAAGGTCTAATGGAAATCCATCTTCCGGGTTCGGAGAACGTTACTGCGGACTTCCTGAGCAGAACAGAAATTCTTCCAGGAGAATGGATGCTTCATCCAGCAGTTTTTCATGTATTGTCCATCGGTGGGGCATACCCCAGATCAACCTGATGGCGGCCTCCCAGAACTGTCAGGTAAAGAAATTCTACTCTCTCCGCCCGGATGCTCCCTCTCTTCCTTGGTCATTCGATCAGGGTTATACGTTCCCTCCCCTACCCATGATACTCAGATTTCTGCAAAAGGTTTGGACAGAAGGCACAAAAAGTAATTGCCATTACCCCGATTTGGCCAAGGAGGCCATGGTTTCCCCTCTTCATCAAGATGAATCAGGAACGGTCTGTGCTTCTTCCAATAATAAAGGATCTGCTGAGCCAGGGTCCAATTTCCCATCCTCGGGGGGTATGGATCTTGAAAAGGAAAGACTGCGACATTTAGGCCTCTGAAGCAGTAGTTAATACCCTTTTACAGTTTAGGAAGAGTTCTACTTCCTTGTGCTTCCATAGAATCTGGGATACTTTCAGAGAATGGGCTTCGGCTAAGAGCATTGACATCTTGCAACCTAGCAATACTCAGATACTTGATTTCCTTCAAGAAGGTCTGGACAAAGGCCTTAGCCTCAGCACTCTTAAAGTTTAGTCCTCTGCTCTATCAGCACTATGCAATGTCTCATGGGCTTTGGATGCTTTGATCTCCAGATTCTTCAAGGCAACTTTCAGGTTGAGACCTCCAACCAGATTCGGTTCCCCTTCCTTGAGACCTTCCTCTCATTCTGAACTACCTGACTGATGATATGTTCATTCCTCTGGAAAATTTGGATACTACACTTCTAACTTACAAGACCCTGTTTTTGGTGGCAATTACGTCTGCAAGAAGAATTTCGGAGATTAAAGCTTTTTCTACCATGGCCTCCTGTTTACAGGTCTATCAAGATAGGGTGTGTCTGAGACCAAAGGTGGTCTCTCAATTTCCAACCCCAGGTTGGAGGGGGTTGGGAGAGCAGGGGGGAGGGGAGGCAGAGGGAGCTATAGTGTCAGCAATACAACTTTGAATTCCTGGCACTTCTAGTATCTCTTTAAAGAATTTCTTCTGCTACTTCCTTATTCCAAATAACATTTAATGTGTTGGCTGCCTCTTCATTTGCACATAACAATGACAAAATATTGTACTCATAATACACTGGGTTTTATTGCGTAATACACTGGAATGAAATAGGAGGAAGAGAGACCAGCCTTTTACGATGAAGCAATAGTGAAAAAAAAAAACATCAAGCAGCCGCAGGTCACCCGAGCACATCGAGTGAAAATCACACTGAACGAAAAAAGTGTGCATGGGAATAATGTCAAGATGAAACGTGCAAGTCAGCTGTAGAGAATCTGGAATTTCAGGATTATCTGGATCAAGCATTATTGAAGTTCATCATTAGCTAGAAACCTTACTTAGGATTCCACAATCCGCACAAGAAATTATTATTATTATTTTTTTTTTTTCTTGGCAAGAATAGTGTGTAAGAATAATTATTTATAAAACAGCAACTTATTTGGTAACAGTGGAGGCTGATCCACAGGGGCAGGGGAGGTTGCATTCATCCCATAGTTGTTGTTACAAAAAATAACTAATAAATCAAATCTGTTGATTAATGACTAATGATATGTTTGTGTTAGAAAAAATAATGTTGCGTTTGTTGCCATTAGGTTTGCAGTTTCCTCCCCATCTATTGCTAGCTTAAAGGTACACTATAGTCACCAAAACAACTTTAGCTCAATGGAACAGTTTTGGTGTACAGATCAAGCCTCTGAAGTCTCACTGCTCAGTTCTCTGCTGTTTTGGAGTTCAATCACTTTTGTTTCTGTTCATGCAGCCCTAGCCACACCTCCCCTGTATGTGACTGACACAGCCTGCATGGAAAAAATAGTTTCATTTTTCAACCAGATGCTACCTTACTTTAGAAGCTTTTGTATCTCCTGCTCTGTAAACTGAACTTTAAATACACACAGGAGGCTCCTGCAGGGAGATAAAAAATTTTTTCTAAATTAAATAGAATTTCAATAAAGGAAGTGTAAACATTAGATGTCTCTTTACAGGAAGTGTTTAGGAAGGCTGTGTAAGTCACATGCAGGGAGTTGTGACTAGTGCTCCATGAACAAAGTGATTTAACTCCTAAATGGCAGAGAATTGAGTAGTGAGACTAAAGGGGCACGCTCTGTACAAAATTGCTTCATTAAGCTAAAGTTGTTTTGATGACTATAATGTCACTTTAAGATTCTGCTCATAGATTGAGCATCAAATCAAGTCAAGATTTTTTTTCTTACAAAAATTCCCAATTTTCTGGGATTACACCCAATAGACATGATTAGCCTGCTTGAACAGGCTTTGTGAAATACACATTATTTGCATTGGGCGGCTAAATCCTGGAGTCACAATAAGTGCAAGTCATCTCCTCCGGCATGGCAACTCTTTTAATGACTCTTTCTTTATCACTTAACAGGACACTATAGTCACCAAAACAACTTTAGCTTAATAAATCAGTTTTGGTGTATAGATCATGCCAATTAATGTCAATTCTCTGCCATTTACGAGTTAAGTCACTTGCAGCCTAGTCACATCTCCCTGCATGTGAGTTGTACAGCCTTCCTAAACACTTCCTGTAAAGATTCATCTAATGTTTATACTTCTCTTATTACAAATTCTGTTTCATTTAGAATTTCTTACCTCCTGCTCTGTTAATAACTTACTAGACCCTTCAGGAGTCTCTTAAAGTTAAAGTTACAGAGCAGGAGAAACCAGGAGAGCTGTGGCTAGGACTGCATAAATGAAACAAAAATGATTAAACGTCTAAATGGCGGTGAATTGAGAAGTGAAACTTCAGAGGCATGATCTATACTCAAAAACTGCTTCATTACGCAAAAAAATCTTTGGTGACTATAATGTCCCTTAAAAGTTCTGATGGTACTTGTCTGTATGCATTTGTAGGTAACAAATAGTTCACCTCTCATTATCTTCCATGGTTTGCTCTTTTTTGTATGTCTCCCTAGCTGAGCCATCACAGCGAGAGCTGCAGCATTTCCCTATTGGCTGGTAGCCAGGAAACTTTTGCCCCGCTATGTTTTTTGTGCGGGCAATGGGGCTATAGAAGCGGTGGCCGTTGAGGTAAATCTCACAGACTGCCAAAGAATCTATTGACACATAGGGTTAAATTCCCTATACACTCCCTCCCCATCAGGTACATTAAGGAAGTTCACCTTCACACCCGTGCTGGAGCAACTGTGGCTACTTGTTAGTACCGCTCTGGTTTCTGGCGCAAGCCTACAGCATTTCTCTAACCTGCTTAACACTGGGCTATACCCTGCACCACCGCTCCCGGTACATCGTGGTAAGAATCGTTTCACCACACTGCTCCCCTAGTCTCCACCTACTGTGAAGTTGTCCTGGTGACCCCAGTCCGACTTCTGTGGTCGTTTCCTGTAATCTTGCTGAGTGAAATCCTTATGTTCTGGGGTCCGTTCCTCCTCATATGGACTGTTTCTAAGAAGAAAGTAAGACGTTGTTATTCCTCTTATTCAGACAGTACTTCTTTGTTTAGTTCTTACCTTATTGCCTGCATTTCAGGATTGTTGATTTTTCACTGCTACCATTTGTTTTGTTATTCTGCACGCCATCAGGTGACCAAACCGCATCAATACAAGACTTTATATTTGAACTGTTATTCTAACTGTTACCAACACCATCTTGTGGCTAAACATAATTACTACAGGACTTTCTAAGAACTTTTCATTTTGTTACCAAAGGTATCTGTTAAAAAAAAACAACTTACACCGTAATTAAAATATCTATCTGCATATTGAGTTCCACGAGCATTCTTGTCTTAGTTTGCGAACATATATAACACATATAAATTTTAACTTTACGCAGTTTCCCTTCTACCATTTATGTAAATTTACTTTAATTACATTGTGGTCTTTATTTGGAATGTTGAGTTCGCTGTCTAGATATATGTGGGGTGGGGGGAATGTTATATGGTGTTACACGGGCTATAAAAAAGCTTTTGTGGTGCTTTCTCCAGGATGTTAAATGCCAGGTATGTGTTGCAAGTTAGATGATTCGTTAAACAGTTGTGTGGTAAATAAAGTATCTGAGTTAAAGATGTTTTTAAATTCCTTTCAATAAAAACCACTAAGACTTGATAAAGGCTTCCACTTCCTTGTTTCAAATAAAGACTTCCTTTTAGAAGAAACCTTGGGTGTGCCTGGATATTTCTTTTTTTCCATTTAATAAAAACCACAGCTTATCTCCAAACATTTGTTTATGTGTGTTTATTTTATTAGCAAAGGTTTTACGTTTCTTTCCCATAACCCATAAAAGACCATGTTTGCTAATATGGTCTATCCCAAACACAATGTAAATCAACAATCAAACATCTAGGAGTTTTGTGAGAGACACATCTTTGAGACACCTCAGTGTCACATATCTTGATTAAGTGCCTCTCACGAAACATGTAGATTTTCATAGTGCTGTGATAGGGTTATTACCAAGATCTCCAGGAATGGAATCATTTGAAATGCCCCAAGGGGTGAATAAGGTATGAAGGTTACTTGTTTTTGTGCTAGATTCTGGAAACTCTAAAAGACAGATTTGCAAATTGACAACAATAAAAAAAAAAACTAACATAAAGGTACTTCACATTCAAATTGACTCCAATAACATTTGTACTTACAAAATAATGGTATTATTGAAAAAAATAAAATAAAAAAGGAGGTACACATTTAAGAGACCTATCCAGTGAATTGTGGGAACAAAAAATGTATAATCCCTAAACGAATACTGAAGTTAATTTGCAACTATACAAAGGCAATTCCCCAGGAGCAAAATAATTTTGGACAATAATCAGGTGTCCCCTGCTCAAGATGGCAGGACTGGACCATTAAATTGGGCTGTCTCACACAGTAGCGTACGTATCCGAGGTGGCCTGACTGGCTGAAAAGCGGCAGGTAATGCACAGCACACCCATCTCCAACCAGCACAGGCACCTGATAACCTGCATTGGTGGTGGAGGTGTTCTATACTGTGACTTTTGTGAGTGACTGCGCTGCGGGCAGCAAGTGTCCGCTGGGCTCACCCTGTGATGTCAATCTAGCCCTGGCATCAGTACAAAGCTGCAGCGAGCAGGGCAGTCCGAACAGAGACAAACCACTGGATAACATCTGTAATTCCCCCTTCAACAAAATAAAATGTTATTATTGTTAAATATCCCCCTTTCATAATATTGCAAAGCGCTGCGGAATAAGCTGACGCTACATAAATACCGATAATAATGTGTGCGTGTACGAACGAATCTGTGTGTGTGGGTATATGAATGTGGGAGTGGGAGCCTGTGTGTTTATGAATGTGTGTTTGCATGTGAGTCTGAATGTTATTATGTATATGAATATGAATGTATATGTTTATATAACTGTGTGTGTGAATTCCCTAACAAATGGAGTTTTGGGAGGGATGCATAGTGAGCAGATTTGTCAGTTCAAGGATGCCAAAACACATTTCCGCCCTGGATGATATAACCTAACCTGGGTTCACCCAGGGCTGTATTTACCACAAGGCAAACAAGGCAATTTCAGGGGGGCAGCAAAAAATGCCACACCAAGTGCCCAGGCAAATGCCTTATTTGCCTTGTGTCCTGGGGGCGCCAAGAGCTGATTGCCACCTTAGGGCCCCCCTAGGTGTTAAAGCACTAATATTATAGCCGGGCGGTGAGGGAGATATGTCCTTTTAGATAATTGTTAAAGATCTTAATAACTGGTGAGTGTATGAGAAAATATCTGTGTGTGAGTATGTTTGTGACGGTCAGTGAGTGTGTGTGTGTCTGTCTGTGTGTGTGTCTGTCATTGTTTGTGTGTTTGTGTCTGTCAGTCAAAAAAAAGGCCTTAACACAAATTGGTGAGGCAAATTTAGTTCAAGGGGGTGCCGCATTTAGTCATGCCTAGGGCAGCACAAATTCAGAATACACCACTGGGTACACCTCAGGTCTCAGAGGACCTTGGACTGTTTTTGGAAGTATGTTATCCCAGCTGTAACAGCCACAAAGCACTGACATATATACAAAGCGCTGCCACATATAGCAAGGACATAAATGACTGCGACTAGTTTATATAACAAACAGACACATTTTATTTTAGCACAGGAGACAAAACTGTAATAATGTAACCTGATCTAACACACAAAGGCAAAGAAGAAAATGGATTTGTTTATTCCTTAATTATTAATAAAGTTGTTTGAGGGAAAAAAAAAACCCTTCAGCTGTTTTCCTGCTGCTTTTCTTTTACCATTGCTAAGTCGCTGGAACGCAAAGACACTTCCGGTGCGTGTCAAGGCAAAGATGGCGGCGCCCAAGGCACATGCTTTGGTACACCGGGTGCTGGCAGAGTGCCCCGTGACAAAGGCTCGGGCTTGCGAGCTGATATTGCCGCATGGACCTGTCAGCACTCCGGTCTTCATGCCTGTGGGGACCCAAGGCACAATGAAGGGCGTGACATCGGATCAGCTGCGGGATCTGGGCTGTGAGATCTGTCTGGGGAACACCTACCACCTGGGGATGCGGCCGGTGGGTGGACTGGAGGGGCACAGATATCCTCTAACAGCTGCCAGGCGTGGGGGATGTTAACTAGATTGTAGTAAAGTTCAGTTTTAGTTACAAGTGTTTATAGTGTTCTTGTTTGCTGGTTGAGTATAATTTACTACTGGGTATGGAGTTAGCTGTAAGGGGTATATTCACTAATTGAAATGAATTGTCTGGAATGAAAAATGTTTGGCCAATATGAAAACCTAACTGTTTGGAGAAAATCTACAGTTCCTATATTCTTACCTTACATTTGAAATTCAGTTTCAGGGTTAGAAACCCCCCCCTCACCCCTCACCCCCAAAACTCGAATTCTAGAGAACTACAATCCAAATGGCAACATTGAGAAGATTAAATCATTAACCCACAGGGATATAATTTCTAATTAGTGGGGTAATAGCTGCTTGATACAAAGAGATATCTGACTACTATTTTGGGGTCAAGAAGGAATTTTTTCCTAGTTTGTTGCAAAATTGGAAGCGCTTCAGACTGGGTGTTTTGCCTTCTTTTGGATCAAGAGCAAAAACATGAGAGGAAGGCTGAACTTGATGGATGCAAGTCTCTTTTCAGCTATGTAACCATATAGCCATAGTTTGTCTATTTTAGACTCTGTTTAGTCATTTGGAGTTTAATTTGCAGCATTAAAGGGTTACTCCAACTTTTTATAATCGACTTTTATTTTTATTTAGTAATTCGGTCCCACCCCCATACTAAAGACAAGAAAATCTTGAAAAGTAGTTTGAAACTTAAAGGAACACTACAGTGCCTCTCTACCTTCACACCCGGACCTGCTCTGCTCAGTCAAGAAACGGATAATTACCCTTTTTTAAATTCCTCTGATTTCAACGCCGAGTTCCTTTGGCGCTGGATCAGGCTTCTTTCAGTGAGATCACGTTGATCTGAAAACCAAAAGTGTGTGTGCGGTGCATGTTTGGGTTTCTCCATTGGAAAGCATTGAATCATTTCATTCCTATGGGGTATTTGAAGTCACTGGATGTCCTCATGCAAAGCATGATATCCAGCTTCATTTTATGAACTTAAACTCTGTGTAACTGCAGGAGATACCGTTAGTGGCTGCTTGTTAGATGGAATCCTCCATTGATAAAGCCAATTTGCTCCAGCCGTCCCTGGTGAGAGCTTGGGGGATTGAATCTTGCTCTAAAATTTAAATGTTTTACATTGCATGGTTAATGGAACATGGAGACAGAGACACTGTACCCAGACTACTACTAATGAGATGAAGTGGTGTGGGTTCCTATAGTATCCCTTTAATATGAAGCGAGCGCTGGCAAAGCTCCCAATGCTGGTTTCTACACCCCTGTCCAAAGTCACTGTCTCCTTAGTAAGGTCCAATCAAATGCTTCTCTAAGCATTCAACTGGATCATTCACAGTTACCCAGAGTGCATGCACATGCTCTGAGCAAGGGAGGGAGTGGATAAAGGAGGGTATTTAGAAAAATACAGCATATAGTTTACAATAGAGGGAAGGGAAGGAAGAGCTAGGCTTATAATAGATGGTAGAAGAATATATATGCACGCTGACGACAGATGTAATTGTTGCACAGATTTGGCATAGTCATGTGTGCAGAGGGAAGTGCAGATATATCTGAATATGCAGAGTTTCAATCAAAGAAACATTGCACATACAGAAACCTAACACTATGACCACTTCTAAAAGCAGAAGTAGTCATGGTGGCTGGATTAACCCTTTAAGTAATAACCCTGTGTGAATTCACAACAATTTCACTTAAGTGACTAACCTATGTCTCTGTCAAGTCTTGCTATTAAGAAATAAGTCTAGTGTAAGAAACTAACAGACATCAATGTCATATAAAAAGATCAAAATAAAAGAAGAAAAATGGCATTCGATGTATTTAAGCTTAAGTCCTGCTCAATGAATATATAAAGACACTGGTAAGGTATTGTTTGTTTCTTTTTAAAACCAAACAGAAATAATCTACTCTTATATCAAAGTAAGAGCAGTGAGGAAGAAGCACTTACAAAGCCCCCCCCCCCTGTTGTGACTTTTGGTCCGCACAGAAATAGCATGGAAACAACCATGTTGTTAAAAATTGCTGAAAGCAGTGTTCAGATTATACTTGTTCATCTGTTAAAGCAGTGTTTCCCAAACCAGTCCTCACAACCCAGCAGCTGCCCAGGTTTTATCATTATTTCCATTGGAATAAAAAAGGAATATCCATAAATTCTGGATTGTTGGTGGGACATGAGGAATGGTTTCTGAATTACTGAGTTAAAGGAACACTCTGGGCACCATAACAACTTCATCAAAATAAAGTTTATATAGTGTCAGGAGGTTCCTGCCACTGGCTCACCTTAAACTGGTTTCGAACAGTTTAACCCCAAAGTCTCAGCCAATCAGTGACTCCCCATTCAGAAAATTTGGTTTGAAAAAGGTATGTTTTTATTCAAGTCAGTTTTATGAATAGGGAGTCACTGGTTGGCTGAGAATGTCAGCTGACATCTTTCAGTCATTCATTCTGCACCGCTGTCTGAACCTGAGCCTTCTGCTTTAGATTTTGAGAAAACGGACAGAGAGGAAGGGATATTTGTCACTGGAACACAAACTTTAGGCTTAAGCCATTCGAGAATGGTTTAACCCCTTTAAGGAGAGTGAGCACATGGGACTTCCTGGCACCATAACAACTTAATTTTGAAGAAGTTGTTATGGTACCCAAACTGGTCCTTTTAAAACTCTCATTTCAAGTATGCTTATTGAGTTTTCAAACCTAAACTTGCTGAAGTGGTTTAGGGGTTAACCAGATACTTACAGAACCTTTTCAATAAAATGTACGATGTCTGATTTTTGATTAATATTTTTCTTTATATGATTAGATATAATGGTTCGATTTTAAAAGTTATTTTGTTCATGTTTGAAAACCAGTTTTCTTTTTAAAGACATAGGCTTGATGGATGCATTGACCTGATATCAGGGATAAGGAAATGTAATCATGTTAAACAATCTCCTGTCTCATAGGGTCCAGATATTATGAAGAAGGTGAATGGCTTGCATGGTTTCATGAATTGGAAGAATAATCTTCTCACTGTAAGTTTGTAAGAAATGCATTGTTTTTTTTACGTCTCATATAACTGGGCTAAAAATGTCCACTTGCCTACGAGTCATTGGCGAGTGAAATTCAGCTTTGACAAGTAGGAATTCACCCTGGTTAGTGTGTCCTGTGGATACTCCAGGGATGCAGTGGCAAGTAATACCTTATCAGTGTGACAGGCGAGTGGAAAATGCAAACCATTATAACCGAGCAAATATTTAATACACAAAAATAAATCTAAAATCGTTGGCTAGGAGAGAGTAAGGGAAGTTATGCTAGACCCCAAAAACAGATAATATGAGAATGTCAAGAATGGGCAAAAGCTCAGAGTAACTCAGTACCTTGTCCTTCGGTTAATCCTCGTAGGTCTCAAAAATCGTTTTTGCTCACTTTGCCATTAAAAGAAGAACCTGTTCCAAGGTTTATCAGACTGATCCCACCCATAAGGGAAGTCCAGATCTGAAATGCTGGAAAGTTTCCTCTGCACGAGAGATATAGCAACCCAGACAGTTGGTTTGGGCCTCGTCGAGATGTTGTAGCTGATACCACTCTAAATCTACAATAGTGGCTGCATCCCACTGTTTTAACCATAAAGAGTCTTTCGTGAATTGGTTCTTTCATGTCATTATTCTCTCCACTTGCAGTAGGTTTGCACCCAGTGCTTTTTTTTTTTTTTTTTAAACCTTTATGCAGATTGCTACAGTTCTACCTACAGTTCTAACTAATATCCCATGCTTAACAGCCTCTCACTAATACTGGTTATTACCGTATTTATTATAATATAATGCGCACCTCAATTTTTGAAACCTGGAAGCTGAAAAATGTTTTTGCTGGCGCATGTAATTCACATTTGTATTACTATATAGATACTACTATGCAACATTGTGCATTATTATTTGTTTATTTTTTATAATCGCTCTTTATAACTCAAATTGCTCCTCGTTTAAGGACCGCGTTCTCTTCCTATGATGGTCTTTAAGTATCGACCGCCCTCTTTCCCAGGGGAAAATTCACTGGCAAATTTTTAATTGCGCTGGGGAATTTACTAATCTAATACGCCATTGAATCTAATGCACATTAACATTTTGGAAACTTTATTTTGCCAATAAAGGTGTGCATTAGATTTGAGTAAATATGGTATGTAGTGTTCAGTAACCCCTAACTCAGGGAACATCAGGGGATTTATGCTGTATTTATGGGTTTATATATAAACTTTCTGACTGATGATTATCAGGACAGGCTCAGACAGTGCTGGGTTTCTATATGATTTACAGCGACCTCCTGACTGCAGATTATCAGGACAGGCTCAGACAGCTCTGGGTTTATATATAATATACAGAGACCTCCTGACTGCAGATTACCAGGACAGGCTGAGACAGTGCTGGGTTTATATCTAATATACAGAGCCACCCTGGCTGCAGATTATCAGGACAGGCTCAGACAGTGCTGGGTTTATATCTAATATACAGAGACCTCCTGACTGCAGATCATCAGGACAGGCTCAGACAGTGCTGGGTTTATATATAATATACAGAGACCTCCTGACTGCAGATTATCAGGACAGGCTCAGACAGCGCTGGGTTTATATATAATATACAGAGACCTCCTGACTGCAGATTATCAGGACAGGCTGAGACAGTGCTGGGCTTATATATAATATACAGAGACCTCCTGTCTGCAGATTATCAGGACAGGCTGAGACAGTGCTGGGTTTATATATAATATACAGAGACCTCCTGACTGCAGATTATCAGGACAGGCTCAGACAGTGCTGGGTTTATATATAATATACAGAGACCTCCTGACTGCAGATTATCAGGACAGGCTCAGACAGTGCTGGGTTTATATATAATATACAGAGACCTCCTGACTGCAGATCATCAGGACAGGCTCAGACAGCGCTGGGTTTATATATAATATACAGAGACCTCCTGACTGCAGATTATCAGGACAGGCTCAGACAGCGCTGGGTTTATATATAATATACAGAGACCTCCTGACTGCAGATTATCAGGACAGGCTCAGACAGTGCTGGGTTTATATATAATATACAGAGACCTCCTGACTGCAGATTATCAGGACAGGCTCAGACAGCTCTGGGTTTATATATAATATACAGAGACCTCCTGACTGCAGATTATCAGGACAGGCTGAGACAGCGCTGGGTTTATATATAATATACAGAGACCTCCTGTCTGCAGATTATCAGGACAGGCTCAGACAGCTCTGGGTTTATATATAATATACAGAGACCTCCTGACTGCAGATTATCAGGACAGGCTCAGACAGTGCTGGGTTTATATATAATATACAGAGACCTCCTGATTGCAGATTATCAGGACAGGCTCAGATAGTGCTGGGTTTATATATAACATACAGAGACCTCCTGACTGCAGATTATCAGGACAGGCTCAGACACTGCTGGGTTTATATATAATATACAGAGACCTCCTGACTGCAGATTATCAGGACAGGCTCAGATAGTGCTGGGTTTATATATAATATACAGAGACCTCCTGACTGCAGATTATCAGGACAGGCTGAGACAGTGCTGGGTTTATATATAATATACAGAGACCTCCTGACTGCAGATTATCAGGACAGGCTGAGACAGTGCTGGGTTTATATATAATATACAGAGACCTCCTGACTGCAGGTTATCAGGACAGGCTGAGACAGTGCTGGGTTTATATATAATATACAGAGACCTCCTGGCTGCAGATTATCAGGACAGGCTCAGACAGTGCTGGGTTTATATATAATATACAGAGACCTCCTGACTGCAGATTATCAGGACAGGCTCAGACAGCTCTGGGTTTATATATAATATACAGAGACCTCCTGACTGCAGATTATCAGGACAGGCTGAGACAGCGCTGGGTTTATATATAATATACAGAGACCTCCTGTCTGCAGATTATCAGGACAGGCTCAGACAGCTCTGGGTTTATATATAATATACAGAGACCTCCTGACTGCAGATTATCAGGACAGGCTCAGACAGTGCTGGGTTTATATATAATATACAGAGACCTCCTGACTGCAGATTATCAGGACAGGCTCAGATAGTGCGGGGTTTATATATAACATACAGAGACCTCCTGACTGCAGATTATCAAGGCAGGCTCAGACAGCGCTGGGTTTATATATAATATACAGAGACCTCCTGACTGCAGATTATCAGGACAGGCTCAGACAGTGCTGGGGTTATATATAATATACAGAGACCTCCTGACTGCAGATTATCAGGACAGGCTCAGACAGTGCTGAGTTTATATATAATATACAGAGACCTCCTGACTGCAGATTATCAGGACAGGCTCAGACAGTGCTGAGTTTATATATAACATACAGAGACCTCCTGACTGCAGATTATCAGGGCAGGCTCAGACAGCGCTGGGTTTATATATAATATACAGAGACCTCCTGACTGCAGATTATCAGGACAGGCTCAGACAGTGCTGGGTTTATATATAATATACAGAGACCTCCTGACTGCAGATTATCAGGACAGGCTCAGACAGTGCTGGGTTTATATATAATATACAGAGACCTCCTGACTGCAGATTATCAGGACAGGCTCAGACAGTGCTGGGTTTATATATAACATACAGAGACCTCCTGACTGCAGATTATCAGGACAGGCTCAGACAGTGCTGGGTTTATATATAATATACAGAGACCTCCTGACTGCAGATTATCAGGACAGGCTCAGACAGTGCTGAGTTTATATATAATATACAGAGACCTCCTGACTGCAGATTATCAGGACAGGCTCAGACAGTGCTGAGTTTATATATAATATACAGAGACCTCCTGACTGCAGATTATCAGGACAGGCTCAGACAGTGCTGAGTTTATATATAATATACAGAGACCTCCTGACTGCACATTATCAGGACAGGCTGAGACAGTGCTGGGTTTATATATAATATACAGAGACCTCCTGACTGCAGATTATCAGGACAGGCTCAGACAGCTCTGGGTTTATATATAATATACAGAGACCTCCTGACTGCAGATTATCAGGACAGGCTCAGACAGCTCTGGGTTTATATATAATATACAGAGACCTCCTGACTGCAGAATATCAGGACAGGCTCAGACAGCTCTGGGTTTATATAATATACAGAGACCTCTTCACTAATGATTATCCCCCCAATACTGGTTAATATGTTGTGTTTAGGAATCCCTTGACTTCAGTGGATTTATATATTTACACGTGTTATATAGAGACCCCCCTGAATGCAGATTATCAGGACAGTTTTAGACAGTTGTGGATTATTTTTATTTTTCCAGTTATCTCTTTTGTAAGCAGTTTTTGTTTCTGTTTTAGGACAGTGGTGGCTTTCAGATGGTATCCCTTGTAGAGCTTTCAGAAGTTACAGAGGAAGGGGTACATTTTAAATCCCCCTATGATGGTAAAGAAATCCTCCTTACCCCTGAAAAGTCCATTGAGATTCAGAATGCTTTGGGTAAGTCACATTTTTTTATTTTTTTATTCATGTACCTTCTCCTTGCACCAGTAGATGGATTTCACACATCAGAGCATTAGCGTCTGTCTATAGCACTACGGGCGTCTACGATCTTGATAATACTTTAGACTTTGTAGAGGGAGGATCCCAAAATGATTATTTATTAGTGTGCTAGAAAAAGGTAGTACCGACAAGGCCTTGTTGGAGAAATAGATTCCTGCTGAGAATAGCCATCCATATATTTTATTGTATCCTCGTCCCAATCCCATCCCATTTCAGTAAAGCTTTTATTGGTTGTGGATGTATGTTGCGGATGCAGCAAGTCCAAGTTTTGCTTGTGGAGTGTGCATACCCACAACTGGAACAAAGTGTACTCGGACAGCCCAGAACCATAGCTTTGTATCTGTCTGATTGACATCTCTGTGCTTACAAAGACTGCAGTTATAGAACACTCTCATTAATGAGAACGGATGCAATCTACTCTCTGCACCCTCAGGTTTGCAATAATGCTGTTATTATTGTCTTTACAGTGACCCTCAAACTTTGAAAGTATTATTTTTTTTTCTACTTGCTCCCTTGCTAGCAGTTAGCTGGAGTGATTGCTGCCGTCTAGGCTTGGAAATTATATCGGCTCAGTCGCTCGGTGACTGTAAGTTCACAGTTTGGCCATAACGGATAATAATTTGCTCTGGAACTGGTTAGGCAAAATCCAATTAATTAAACGTAATCGTTAATACAAAAACGTATTTAATGAAAACTCAGAGTTAATCTGCATTCGTCAGTTGTTTAATATATTTCTTTTTAATATCTTTTTTTTCTATTTTGTGTGTGTGCAAATTATGCATTGATTAGACCAATTGCGCCACCTAGTGAGGGGAGATGTTACATTTTATAAATCACAACTTGAAGTAATTAAGTTATATTTGTTAAACGAGCACTCTAATATAAATATACTTATTATAACATTAGCGTGTTCTTCTACGTGGTCTCCCCCTAAAATCCTGACTGACAAGTGTAAATGTTGCTGTTTTTTCTGAACCTGCAATGTGTACGTTTTGTCAGAGTGCAGTGCCATTTAAGAAGCAGTGGTTGTGGTGCTTAGTGCCCCTTGGTGCATACGTGGCCTACTCTGTATACATGCGTAACAACAAGACTTGAGTCTTGCAAGTACCTATATAAAATTGGGTAGCTGACGTTTCCTTCAGTACAGCTTTGTGCAGTTTTATTTTCGCCAATATTTTAATCTCAGGACATGCTGCTGTCCCACTGGAAACCAAACCAAAAGCGTGTATACAATATACTTAACAGAATAATAAAATGACTGCATCCCCCAGGACTTCCTAATCTGTCAAAGACAGAAGATATGTAGGTAAAACTGGACCTAAAAAGAACCGATACTGCAGTATTGTAACATCACAGGGCAAAGTGTAAATTGCACTCACAAACCAAGACTTACTATAAGAGCCTTCAATATACCCATTAAACTTTTAAGACTTACAATTGCAAAAAAGTAATAGTGCAGAATGCTTAACAATATAAAAAGTATATATATATTTATTGCAGGTAAAAAAAAAAGCATATCACATGGCACGTTATAAATAAACTTTAGATCCAGTTGCATGCAAAACCTGGTAAAGGCTGATGGTTACTGGTAAAGCCCGATGGTTACTGGTAAAGCCCGATGGTTACTGGTAAAGCCCGAAGGCTGATGGTTACTGGTAAAGGCTGATGTTACATTGATGAGCCTTCCAGTTTCTACAAAAGTAGTTTGCCTCCTTTGAATCTTAAGTGTTAAAAAAAAAAAAAAAAGGAACTGCCAGGAGAAAGCGAGAAATATCTGTATCGCTGGTGGAGTGGCAAATATCCACCAATTAGGCTAGGTATTTCTAAAAATAAAACTTAACTTTTAATATAGCGATTAAGAGGTGAAATAAGTCACCACAATGAAAAGGAAAACAAAATTCAAACAGAAATAATAATGTACATATTTACAAAACAATTATCCTGAGTGTAGCTATAGTGTCTGTATATGAAAGTGTGCTTGTCAGAACCCCTGACACACGTTTCACCAATCCGGCTCATCCGAGGGGGATCCGATGAGCCAGATTGGCGAAACGTGCGTCAGGGGTTCTGACAAGCATGCTTCATAGCCACTGTATTACGAGTGAGCTCATGTTCGGCTTATAATGGCGTTTACAGAAATTCACTAATACCTGTCCCCATATATTAGTGAAAAAAAACAAAACCGGCTATCACTCCAATCTCCAGCTTTCTTTCATTATATTGAATCTAGGGGTGGGAGGCATTCCTTATACATCCATTTAGGAGTAACAGGCATTTTGGTTAAGGGGTGCCCTTGAGGCATAGAATTAGTATTCACTTTACCTCTCCCTGCTATCACCCTTATTGATACAGACATGTATTGGCTACAGGGGGGGAGATGTCCCCTTATACTGCTGGCTTGCTACAGGTTGTTTTTTTATTAACCTGAACTTTATTAATCTGAACTCAGCCTGTACTACCTGACTCTGTATTCATTATCCCTATATTTGGGTAGAACTACCAGAATTTCATACACCGACATTATAGCTACACCACAGATAATTGTTTTGTAAATATATACATTATTATTTCTGTTTGAATTTTGTTTTCCTTTTCGTTGCGGTGACTTAATTCACCTCTTAATCGCTATATGAAAAGTTAAGTTTTGTTACTAGAAATACCTGGCCTAATTGGTGGATATTTGCCACTCCACCAGCGATACAGTTATTATTTCTCTCTCTCCTGGATGTTCCCTTTTTCCCCTCACTTATTCCATAGTGACTAGTCTCACTAGGGGTTACCCCCCACCCCCTCTTCAGGAGGTTAATAATAATATTACCTGTCTTTACTTGTTTATTGCCTTTGAATCTTAATGTCTGTGATGGCATACTTTGGGAATAAGACAAATGCTATATTCTATCCCACTTATTAAAAGAAGAAAGGGTAATATTCATTTTAAGTTGTTTTGTCAACAATTAGGCATTCTTAAAGACTGGCTCATTTTAAGCTGTAAGTAATCTTGCACAAACTAGATAGATTATCATATTTTTTAAACTATGTTGTTATTCTGTAAGGTCATCGATTCTGCCTGTTATGCTCTATCTATCTTATATATACATATTTACCATAAAACAAGCACATTTTTTTAATTAATCTAGAAATAGCTAAATGAGTCTTGAGAGATCAGTGTAGTTAAAGGGACACTCCACTGCGAAATAAAAAAAATAAAAAATAAAAATCCTGGTTAAGTGTGTGTGTGTATATGTATGTATGTGTATATATATATATATATATATATATATATATATATATATATATATATATATATATATATATATATATATATATATATATATATATATATATATAGCCAAAAGTACAAGATAGCACTCCAGGGACTTCCAAGTTGAATGAATAAAACTTAGCTTTTATTAGCTCAAAATAAAAATCAACGTTTCAGTCTGTATCACAGACTTTCATCACTGAGATAAACAAACCAGGAAGAAACTGGACCGGTTTTATGCATTTTTTTTTTTCTTTCATTGCCGACACAGCGTTATCTGGAGATTTTACAGCAGAGCCCCAAGTACGTCAAACAGTAATGGACTACTACACAACACAGAGTAGTTAATTGTTAAAAATAAAAGCAGAACAAGTTTGCAACTCTTGTACTGGCTACGGATGACGCCTGTGTCTCCCATTAAAGCGATCTCCATTTTGCAGGCTCTGATATCATGATGCAGCTGGATGATGTTGTAAGCAGCACGATTTCAGGGCCTCGCGTTGAGGAAGCTATGCACAGGTCTGTGAATACCCCCTGTTCTGGGGATGTACATTGCTGTATAGTTATTTATGGATAATTCTCTTTTTTTCTGTTTATTCTTATTCCCTTATCTGCCTCTAATTTTCCACTTCAGTTTCGCTGCCTCCTCTCATTATCCTCTCTCCGTCTGTAAATATAGATCTATCCGATGGTTGGACCGTTGTATTGATGCTAACAGGAACCCAGAGAAGCAGAATCTGTTTGCTATTATCCAGGGTGGACTTGATTCCGAGTTGCGCAAGAAGTGTTTGAAGGGTATGTCAGTTTCTTACATTTCTGTGCCATTAAAGGTGCGTGTACTTAAATACAATAAATGGTATTTAGGAAAAAAGAAATCTAGATTAAGTTAGAAATGTAGAAGTGTGTAGCCATGTGAAATATAAAAATATATTAATGAGCGATTTATTTAATCCTTTCATTGACGAGTGTATGAAGTGTGTGTATTGTCAGAAGATCGGTGGAATCATTCTCACATTTATATGTACAAGCAAGGATATAACACAAGGGAGATGCCTTACTAATAACCATAAATGAACGGATTACCCTGGATTCTTGATTGATGCTAATTTAGAGACACAATAACAAACAATATTGTACAAAAATATATTAAAGGGACACTGTAGTCACCCAGACCACTTTAGCTTATTGAAGTGCTCTGTGTGCAGTGTCCCTGTCCCACTTAGGCCTGCAATTTAAATTATTGCAGTTTTTGAGAAACTGCAATGATTGCAGGACTAAGACTGCTGCTAGGGGCTGTCAATCAGACAGCATTTATAGGCGCTTCCTGCTTCTAGGTGGCTTTTGGTCACCTGATGCTGGACGTCCTTACACACTCCATGAGGACATCCAGCGTCCATTAACTCCCCATAGAAAAACATTGCAGTAATGCTCTCACATGGGGAGAGCTTAATGCGCTCGCCGCGCATTAGCTTACCCCATCATGCGACATCGGTGGAGGCGGAGCATTGACCTAGCGACTAGGGAGATTGGGGCTGGAATCAGGCAAGTGTTACAAGATATATTTTTTTTAACCCTTGCGGCACCGTGGGTTGGTTAGAGGGAACTTTGTGTAAGGAATGCAACTCCCTTTAAAGGACCACTATAGTGCCAGGAAAACATACTTGTTTTCCTGGCACTATAGTGCCCTGAGGGTGCCCCCACCCTCAGGGACCCTCTCCCGCCCGGCTCTGGGGAGAGGAAAGGGGTTAAAACCTTACCTTTCTCCAGCGCTGGGCGGGGAGCTCTCCTCCTGCTCTCCTCCTCCGTTCCTCCCATTCGGCTGAATGCGCACGCGTGGCAAGAGCTGCGCGCGCATTCAGCCGGTCGCATAGGAAAGCATTCTCAATGCTTTCCTACGGACGCTTGCGTGCTCTCACTGTGATTTTCAATGAGACAGCCACTAGAGGCTTTGGAGGAAGGATTAACCCATTTACAAACATAGCAGTTTCTCTGAAACTGCTATGTTTATAAAATAATGGGTTAACCCTAGCTGGACCTGGCACCCAGACCACTTCATTAAGCTGAAGTGGTCTGAGTGCCTAGAGTGGTCCTTTAACTATACAAATCAGTATATAAACTAATAAAAATATCAGTGATCAATAAGCCAACAAGTCTAATAACAGGCAGTACAAAACCTGAACTCTTCTTTTGGAAAAAAACTGTTAATGGCGAAGTAAGTGTGCAGGTTAAATACTACACATCAGGCAGTTAAACAAGTGTTCGTCACATTAGGATCACCTTAAAACAGGCAGAAATAAACACGTGAGTTCTCTCCGCAAGCTAATGTTTAAAACCTAATTCCGTACTACACGTCATATTAAAATGACACTGTTACACCCTGGTTAGATGACAGTGATTCTTCTAACAAAAGCTAATCCATATTTTCCTGCCATACTTTGTTTCCATATATGAGAGTAATTCATGAGACTGAGTTTCTATCAGCTCTGTTTATGGCAAAATCGGAATTATAGACTGACACACTGCAGTAGAAGAACCTCTTTAATCCAAATTGAATCTGTTTCCTACCTAAAAGGTAAGATTGAATGATTTTAGTCTGCCTACACTGTCATGTCATTCCCCTCTGAGCAATTCCTACTGCTACCTGTAAGTGGCGCTGTAGACTAAGGGAGAATTTTAATTCACTCTTAAAGACATATGGGCTATGTCATATAAATGACCTGCCCTCTTAGGACATAAATTTTATGGTTTTATTGCCACTGTTAGTAAACACATTCCTTAACTTGAATCTTCAGACATTATATAAACAAGATTATTTAATACTTTAGACAATATAGATATAGAAAGCTCTTATTCTTCTTTACATTCTATTGAGATTAATGTAATCTGTGGTCATTGTGGATGTTACCATAACCCTTTCATGCCGAGAACATACCTGCCTAAGATTGTAAAGATACCATCAATTGATAGAATAATTGTGGTCAAGTTAAGACCATAGTAGTAGTACACAATATATAATATGTTACACTAGAATTGAATAGAATATAGAATTTGTTTTACGATAAAAGCAAAAATATTTGATAAAAAAAAAAAAAATCAAATCTTATGCATTCTTCAAAAATTAAATTTGTGTTATAATTGCTATCAAAACCTTTGCTTATACCATTAATGCTAGGAAATATTTCTATCCTAATTTTAGTATAAAGTTTTCTGGTTAAATTCTTCACTGCTTTAAAAAAAAGATGAAAAAGGGGAAAAAATGTTCTATGTATCAGTCAAGACATGGCATTTGCCAAATCTCTTAAATTCAGTTTCCAATATCAATACTTCCATCAGAGACTGAGAGGATCTCTCCACATTTATGGTTTGGGAATTGGAGTCTGTACTTGTTTTAGAAATGATGAATATGAGTGAACAACATGGCTTCTGGCATCCTTGTTGCATTATAATTCTAAATATCAGTTAATGATCCATAGTTCTTGTTTAAAATGGTCCATATGCCCGACAATTATCATTAATGTTTTTAATTTTGTTGTTCACGATCCTTGGCTGTTTTGCAGTCCTATTTATTAACCGTTCATGATCCATAGTGTTACAATCTGGAACTGTGTTTATGGCTATTTGGGGATGGCTTCCAGTTGCCCTATGACACCTGTATATGGGTGGAGTTATATGTTGAAATAACTTGGCAGCTAAGCTTACTCTCTTCTATCCTAACAACACACAGAGAGTTTACAGATCTGTACATATATATATATGTATATAAAAAAGACGATTAAATCAGATCAAAGTATTTTCATTATTGCTCCTGGGCTTACATGATGATCACATCCTGTAGTATACGTTTTATATTTGCAGTCAATATGTATGCAAACCAAAGGTAATAGGGAAAATTTACTCAATAGTTACCGTAATTTTCTTTTCCTGGCTTTTCTTCACGGCAGCATCATTCATGGGTATCTCCTCCCCCAGCACAGGACCGGAATAATAAACTAATCAGACTATTGGGTATAAAAGGTCCGTCCTCCCATCATACACTAGTCCAATTATAAAGCAAAGGATAAATTAAATGGTGGGAACCTTATGCTGCCATGAAGAATAGCCAGGAAAAGAAAATTACGGTAAGTAAATAAATTTTCACTATTCCTGGTTAATCATGGCAGCATCACTCATGGGTAATACTGGGTAAGCAGTAATATTATTAGAAGGTTTGAGAATTAAAAACAAACTCAAACCCATGAGTGATGCTGCCACGATTAGCCAGGAAAGAAAAACTATTGTTTGTTAATGTATTTTTACTCTCTGAGGCAGTACTGTATAAGCTGGAACCTTGTAAGTGTTTACATATACTCTTCGTATTTATATTTTTTGCGTAAATTCTGATGGAATAAGATTACAATTTGGTTGCCACAATAGAGTCCAAATTTCTGTCCTTGAGTACAGAAACCCCTTTTTCGCAGGTTTAATAGTGAGAATTTACTGATATAGAGCAGGTCCTATCTTAGTGATTTGAGGCCACATTGGGCTACCTCTCTGCAGTTAGAATTACTCTGACTGTTACTGTTGTTTGCAATAAGGCAGGAGCAGATGGTGCAATGTTTTGCCTGGGTGATGCATAAAATGTACTTGCACACCTGACCATTAAGTTATTTATTGTGAGGGGAGAAAAAAAACAAACAAGCAACCAGCATTAACAACTTCTCTGTGTCCGTGCTCGATTGACATCACTGTTTGGGGCAGTAATGTGAATAAGGAGCTTTTAGTGATCCAAAACATTAATTTATTTTGTGTAGCTGCTACACACTGGTATGCCTCCTCTAACCAAACTAAAGTACAGCATTATAAACTTAGATTTATCCCCAATTTTACGTATCTATCGTGTATAGAAAAATAAAACTATAATATCATGTATAGATACATTTATATATTTTTAAACAAGGTTTTCTCCCATCTGACTCTGTTTCTCGGCAGACGCTCAATGCCGAGGAATTTAGACACAGGACGTCCCTCTGCTCTCTACCCAAAACAAACACAGTGCAAAGCGAACCGCGCCGGATAGGGGTTATAAGAACAGAGAGACTTAAAGTCACTCCGTTCAGACGTCAGCAAGATGGCAACGAAGCCAGCGTGTCGGCGTCATGGAGGAGTTTTCCCCTGTTTGAGGAAGGGTCCGCAAGCAGGGCTAATCAGCGAAAGCTGCAGGAGGAGTGCAGGTGGTCTGGAGGTGGGTATTAACAAGCATCTGTTTAATTAGATCGTAGTGGGGGAATGGATAGCCAGGTAAGTCATGACTGTTTCCCATTAAAGCCAAAATAGCAGAACTGGAAAAATTCTCTAAGTCAGCTGAGCTTCCAGTTTGAAATTGATTTTGAATTCTTTAGTAAATAACCCTGTACAAACTTTGAAAATCCCACGCCTCCATGTATCCTGTGCCACGCTTCTTATGTTGCATGTTTTGTCCAATGCAATTTTGCTTTAGGCACTTCGCCTGCATATATTTACTTCCTTAATAAATAAGTGTATATGTGCCGAACCTCTGGCTTATTTTTCTAGTGCATACAAGCAATAATATTGGCGGATAAATTGGACTGTGCTTTATTTGATTTTGCATTGAGTGCTAAGTCTGTTAGGACGATTGAATGCACTGTTTCTTAAAGTAATTCGTTACAATAAAGGAAAACTTTTTTTAAATCGCTAATAGATAGTTTTTTATTTTTATTTTAATAAATTGGCGAGTTTGTTGTGTTGCAACTCTATGGTCAACTCATCCCAACCCATTGTTTACGGAATACGTTTTTTAAATTTAATTTACAAGCCCAAGAGGACCTGAAGCGCGGGGGTTTTCTGTTCTTTTCTGTTTCTCAGAATTGGGAAAAAATAAAAATAAACGGAAAAAAGACTATATAAAAAAGCAAATAAAAATAAAATAAAATAAACTTCAAAGAAAATTCAGCTGAAAATGTGAGCTTCCCTGATATAGAATATTTTAATGTAGAATGTCTTTTTGTAGGTTAGAGTAGACTAGGTGATGAATTGAGGTTTATCTACAGACACCAATAAATATTAACATTTTCTTTGTGCCTGTCACAGTTTTTAGAATTTTTTTTTCTTATCTCTTCACAAACAGAGCAAAGAGAAAATTCGGTTATGAGATGCGTCTCTTTCCAATGGAAAATGTCAGTTAATCAGAAAATGTTTGATTTTTATTTGTAAGATAATCCATTGTTCTCAAAGGTATTTGCTGATTTGCAAACGCACAAAACTTTTTCTAAAATAATAGCTTCTCAAATCAGGCTTTTCTTCCCTGTACGATAGTTTAACTCCCTCATGTCATGGCAGACGCACTTTAAGCTATAGTATATTTATGCAATTAGTAGATCAATGAGTGATAAATTGCGTATTTTGTTATTCAATTATTGTAAAGTACTCAAGGTACACTAGAGTCACCAGAACACCTACAGCTCACTGTATTTGTTCTGGTAAGTATAGTCAGTCCCTCCAGGCTTTTTATTGTAAACCCTGTATTTTCAGAGAAGGCAGTGTTTACATTGCTGCCTAGGGACACCTCCAGTCACAGTCACTCAGATGGCTGCTAGAGATGCTTCCTGGGTTGTGCAGCACTGACATTTGTCTGCACGCTTTGCATGGAGGTGCTGAGCTTTCCCCATAGAGATGCATTGAGTCAATTCATCTCTATGAGGAGATGCTGACTGGCAATGGATTGGCTGAGATCAAGTTTGATGCTCTCAGGCAAGGGGGTGGGGCGTGGGCGGGGCTAGCCATGACCATATCTGTATGGCAGGGCTCGACAAATCCCAGGTCGTCATGGCGACCAGTAAATTTGTCCTGGCGCTTGGAATTCGTGAGGCTGGTTGGGTAATGGAGAGCTCAGGGAGGCGGCCGGCTGACTGAGGGGTGGAGGGGGTGTCCGGCTGGCAAATGGAGAGCTCAGGGAGAGGGGAGGCTGACTTATTGCAGCGGCGAGTGAGCTGTAATCTCCCTGCTCTGCCCCCTCGCGCACCTTGTAGTGATGCCAGAAGCCGGGTTATGACATCACTCCGGCCCCCGGCTCACTAAACAGTGCGTGGACTGGGTGGATTTACATTAAAATATAAAAAGTAATTATTTGTGAGTGTGTTTGTCTGTGCACCTCTAGAGGCCGTCTCAGAGTGTCGCTAGAGGTGTCACCAGGCAGCAATGCAAACACTGCCTTTTGCCTGTAAATTTGTGTCTGTATGTCTGTGTGTGTTCCCTCCAATCACATGAGAAAGCAGTTTTTACTTAACATTTTCCTCACGCTGTGCTGGTGACGCCACGGCTGGCCCCACCTTCATGGCTGAGATCATCAATCTTGACGATCTCAGCAAATCCAGTGCTTCCCCATAAGAAAGCATTGGGAAACTATTGCGCAGGCACAGCAAAATGCCGCTGCGCCAATAAACTTCTCATAGAGATGCATTGAACCAATTAATGTAGATACTGCACAGTGTGACGCGTCTCAGTGACTGTCGCTAGAATTGTCACCAGGCAGCAATGTAAACACTGCCTTTTGTCTGAAAAGTCCGTGTTTACATTGAAAAGCATTCAGGGACAGGATATAGACTTCAGAACAACTACATTAAGCTATAGTGGTTCTGGTGACTATAGTGTCCCGTTAAGAATTTTATTTGTGGTGTTGATTTCTCTGGCTCCTAGATTCTAAGCAAATTTGTAAAGCCCTGCCTTACGGTGCTGGATTAGGTGAGTAAATCTCGTTTTTAACCAGAGGTAAGGAGAGGCCAGGGGGTTAAACATCTCTTTATCACTATAGTGTCCGGAAAACACATTCGTATTCCTGATGCTATAGTGTTCCTTTACCTCCTGGCCAGCACAGACTGTACCGCCGTCAAGCAGAGTCCCTGGATAAACCAATGAAGGAGCATGTACCTCCAACATCAATCCAATACGGTGGTCTGAATATAGTGACCTCTGTCAACCTGATCCTGTATCCCTTTAGCAAAGTGTGAAATGTGCTCGCTGTAGGATTAATTGCAACAATTACGGTGCAACTACACTATAGCTGCTGTGCTGGAGAACATGTGATCAGTCTGTAGGAGGATTTTCCTGCTCTCTCCTTTAATTCTGTTCTCAGCATATGTAGACCCTAGTCATGAGGGTCAGGCGTGTAGGCTTAATATCCAGTACGTTTCTAACAATTCTGCTAGCACAATGTATAAATGTCATTGTATGTGTTTAAGGATTTCTCAACCATGTCCATTTCAAATTGAATGCTGTACATACAGACTGTACATAACTCCTTTGCTTCTGGAGGTGTATTTCCACTTCGGGCAATGTCACTGGGGGGTCATTAGCCAGACCAGAACAAGAGTTACGATCTGGCTAATGTCAACTCAGTCATTGGCTGAGAGCGATCAGCTGACATTCGCAGCTAAAGCAATTCTTTTCAGCTTGGGTAAAATCTTTATTAGTTCTAAAGAGGAGTAAAGCCCAAGATTCTATTGGGATCAGTTCAGAGAGCAAATCAGTAAATTGGTAATATTGCTCCAAAGTGGGGAGCTTTAGGGCAATGCCACAACAAGAGTGTACGTTGCGTGTCCCTGCACTGTTTGCTGCATGTAAAGGCCTGTTCTTTGTGCTTGTGTGACATGTTTGGAATAAGTCGTTTTTTTACAATCCTCATCTGTGTCTGTTCTAATTGGTGAAAACTGGTTTAAAATGTATAGCTATCTAGTGTTGTTCAATGTAGTTTAACGATTCCAATACAACAAAGCGTACAAAAGGATATGTAAATGGTTGGTTATTACTTATAAAGCGCCAACAAATTCCGCAGCGCTGTACAATGGGTGGCCTAACAGACTAGCATAGGGTTGGCCCTAATACTAGCATCCCTATCCACACTTACAGTGGAATGCCAGGTCTGTGTGTGTGTTTTTGTTATGTCTGGTGTCACAGTTGTGTATTATTGGCTGCAAGAAACAATCTGTGTTTTTTTTTCTTCTAGAAATGACCAAACGGGATGTCCCAGGCTTTGCTATTGGAGGCCTGAGCGGAGGAGAGGAGAAAGACCACTTTTGGAGGATGGTGACCCTGAGCACAGATCACTTGCCCCGTGACAAGCCTCGTTATCTGATGGGGGTAGGGTAAGAAGCCTCTTTCTGTTACTCAAACACAAAATTCTGCGATTATTATCTCTCACTTCATCACATAATGCTGTGTTTAGTAGATGATGTACCTTAATGTGCAATTTCTATGGTGCTTTCCATTCATCTCTGTATTACAGAAGCTGCTCCCAGCCCCCCCATTGCTTGCACTCTCTCAGTACTTTGCATTATTACAGATACTGCACTAGGTCTAGTGGAGCTCTGACGCCTCCCTTGACAGTCCCATGGTTCTATTCCTGCATACATCAGAATATTGCTACATTTTTCACTCTGTTGTAGAGTCCGGCAGTGCTCTTCATCCCTACAAAACCTCTGCTTGGTTTTTCCATATTCTTGTTTTCCGATGTCTGCCTCTCTACTCTTCCATTCCTTGTTTTGATCTTTGATTCCTTTTCTTATCCCATACCCAGCTCAATCTACTTGCTGTCCCAAAAATCATGTCTTTGTGCTTATCCTTCCTTCCCCCGTTTCCCACGACCCTCCTTAAGATTAACTTGTTTCTGCTCCACAGATATGCCACTGACCTTGTGGTGTGCGTGGCGCTGGGTTGTGACATGTTCGATTGTGTTTTCCCAACTAGGACAGCGGTGAGTGTTCTTTTTAAAACCATATTTGATCAGCACATGGTGTCTCTTAAAATGACTCTGTTGCCCAACCGTGTCTTCAGGGCTCAAACTTTCAATACTTGACCTACTAGACAGAATTTAACGCTACTCACTACCACAAATGCACGTACACTATGCATGCCAGTTTTTATGTAAACAGTAAAGATATTTGTGGATTGCGTTCTGTAAAGAAGTGTTTATGTATATACGTAAATGTGTCTGTGTAAATAAATGTATGCATGTATGTATGTACGTAAAAGTTTTAGGAGTGTGGCTGCATGTAAATTGTGGCATGTGTGGTAGATGTTTTTATAAATCATTTGGGGATAAATGTCACTGAATACATTTGTAAATCACTTGTATATAAATCACTGCAACTATTCATATAAGTGTAGAGGTTATGTTGCGTGCAGTGAAAAACTGAGAATGAAAAGAGGAATTGGAGTAACCCTTTAAAACGGCTGATGGGAATAAAAAAAAAAAAAAAAAAAAGTCTTATGCTTCCTAAATAAAACATATAGATAAAGCAAGACAACAAAACAAACAAAAACAATTTCAGTGTCCGCACTCTGTGAGATCACTGTGCTCCTTGACACCCAAAATACAGAATAATTCCTGTTCACATTAGGCTGCTAAGACTATTGATACCTATAGTCCTCTTATTACAGTATGGTTTATACTCCCTTGTTAAATGCTGTTTTAGTGTTATACCTTGTGCATTTTGTATCTGAATTTATAGGGACACTATAGTCACCAGAACAACTACATCTTATTGTATTGTGTTAAAGAGCTTTTCTGGGAAGCTCCCGTCCTCCCTGATCAGAATGCTCTCCCCGGCTGTTTCCACCTCCTATAACCTCCGATCAAGTACCAGCACTTTATTTAGTCTACCTCAATACAAAAAGAAAGTGGCCCGATCCTCGTTTTCCTACAGAGCTCCACAATTATGGAACGACCTCCCGCACACTTTAAAATCTTCCCCAAGCCTAAAGTCCTTTAAGAGATCCCTCTCTACATTCCTTCAAAACAGAATGCAGAGGGGCTAGATGGTGTTTTTAAACACTATAGGGTCAGGAATACATGTTTGTGTTCCTGACCCTATAGTGTTCCTGTAATTTATGTCAGAATTATTATTTTCATCCTCTTGGAATCAACTAATGGAAGACACAGGAGTTGTAGAGGGCTAGATCTACCTACTGGTCAGATAGAGATTTACTCAGTTTGTCTCCACTTCCTTCTTTGAAATAAAGACTGCCTTTTAGAAGAAACCTCAGGTGTGCCTGGATATTTTTTTTTTTAATAGTCTTAAGAGATTATTATTATTATTATTATTGCCATTGCCATTTATATAGCGCCAACAGATTCCATAGCGCTTTACAATATTATGAGAGGGGGATTTAACTATAAATAGGACAATTACAAAAAAAACTTACAGAAACGATAGGTTGAAGAGGACTCTGCTCAATCGAGCTTACAGTCTATAGGAGGTGGGGTGTAAAACACATTAGGACAGAAATTTGCAGTCAAATAAGGTGGGCTGCCCTTTAGGAGAGAGCAAGAGACAGGTATGTGAGGTAGAGGTTAGTCTGGGAGGCTATAAGCTTTCCTGAAGAGATGGGTTTTAAGGCCCTTCTTAAAAGATGCAAGACTAGGGGTGAGTCTGATGGCGGTAGGCAGGCTATTCCATAGGAAGGGAGCCGCCCGCGAGAAGTCCTGGAAACGTGAGTTGGCCATATGGGTGTGGACAACGGACAGAAGGTGGTCACGGGCAGAGCGGAGAGATTGAGAAGGGACATACCTATGCATCTGTGAGGAGATATAAGAGGGGCTAGAGTTGTTCAGTGCTTTATAGGTGTGAATTAGTACCTTGAATTGACTCCTATATCATACAGGAAGCCAATGTAAGGACTGGCAGAGGGGTGAGGTGTGAGAGAACCGACTAGAGAGGAAAATCAGTCTGGCAGCAGTGTTCATTATGGACTGTAGCTGTGCAGTACGGCTTTTGGGAAGACCAATCAGGAGAGGGTTACAATAATCCATGCGGGAAATTACTAGAGCATGGACAAGCTCCTTGGTAGCATCTTGTGTAAGAAAGGGGCGGATGCGGGCTATGTTTTTAAGATGGAATCTACAGGATTTGGCAACATGCTGGATGTGAGGCTCAAATGTGAGGCCAGAATCAAGCATGACACCAAGACAGTGCACTTGCAAGGATTGACTGATGTGGGTACCACAAACTAGAAGTGAGAGCGAAAGAGGAGGATCAGTATTAGGAAGAGGAAAGACAAGGTGCTCAGTTTTAGAGAGATTGAGTTTCAGAAAGCGGGAGGACATCCAGTCAGAGATGGAAGAAAGGCAAGCAGTGACAAGTTGCAGGACGGCAGGGGAGAGGTCCGGGGAGGAGAGATATAACTGGGTGTCATCGGCGTACAGGTGGTAGTGGAATCCAAAAGAGGTAATAAGTTTGCCAAGAGAGGCAGTATAAAGAGAAAATAGAAGGGGACCAAAGACTGGGACCGGACGAGGGGAGGAAGTATCATTAGAAAAGGAGACACTGAATGAGCGTCGGGAGAGATAAGAGGAAAACCACGAGAGGACAGAGACCAAGTGATTGAAGAGTTTGAAGAAGGAGGGCATGATCAACAGTGTCAAAGGCCGCTGAGAGGTCAACAAGAATTAGTATGGAGTAGTGGCCTTTGGATTTAGCTGCGATTAGGTGGTTAGTAACTTTGATAAGCGCAGTCTCAGTAGAGTGGAGAGGGCGGAAGCCAGATTAAAGAGGGTCAAGGAGAGAGTTGGAATTGAGGAAGTGAGACACACAGATATAGACAAGTCTTTCCAGAAGTTTTGAGGAAAAAGGGAGCAGGGATATGGGACGATAGTTAGAGGGGGTGGACGGATCGAGGGATTTTTTTTTTTAGTATAGATACTACAGTGGCATGTTTAACGTCAGCATGGACAATGCCAGAAGAGAGCGAGCAGTTGAAGATGTCCGTTAAGGAAGGCACGAGACAAGTGGAGAGAGATCTAATAAGGTGAGATGCGACAGGAACGAGTGGGCAAGTGGTGAGGCGAGAGGAAAAGAGAAGAGCAGCCACCTCTTGGTCAGTAGCTGGGGAGGATGTCTAAAGGGTAGGAAAGGCATGATCTATGTGTGGTTGAAAAACAGAATGGCAAGAAGGCGAGAATTCTTTCCTTAGCTGTTCAATCTTGTCAGTAAAGTAACATGCAAAGTTATCAGCAGTAAGGTTAGTTTGGGGGGTGGCCATAGCAGGGTGAAGAAGAGAATTAAAGGTGTCAAAGAGACGCCTGGGATTGCGGGAGCATGAACTAATGGGAGAGGAAAAGTAGGACTGTTTGGCAAGGGCTGCGCTGTATGAACACAATATGAATCTATAATGGAGAAAGTCTGACTGGGTGCAAGACTTCCTCCAGGAACGTTCAGCACAACGGGAGCATCTTTGCAGGTAGCGTGTTGATTTAGTATGCCATGGTTGGGGCTGGTCCTCCTCGAGGTGCTTGTTTGGAGCGGTGCTGCAGTGTTCAAGGCAGAGGTGTTATATGCGAAGATGGCCAGTGAAGGACAGGAGAGGGAAGAGATGGACAGCAGTCGTGAATCAATATCAGCGAACAACTGCTGGAGATCAAGAGAATTAAGGTCCCTCCTGAGTTGGGGGGGATTAGGCTGAGGTTGTTGGGTGAGGGGGTACACGAGAGCAAATGATAAGGGGTGGTGATCAGAGAGAGGAAATGGAGTGTTGCATTTATTAGATACTGTACATGCATAAGATAAGATTAGGTCAAGGGTATTGCCAGCTACATGGGTGGGAGAATTAGCCCACTGTGATAGTCCGAGGGAGGGAGTAATTGAAAGCAGTTTAGAGGCTGCAGAAGTCAAAGGTGGGTTAATAGGAATATTGAAGTCCCCGAGAATTAGGGATGGAATATTAGAAGAGAGGAAATAGGGTAGCCAGGCAGCAAAGTGGTCAAGGAAGAGAAGAGGGGAACGAGGGGGACGATAAATAACAGCAATGTTAGCAGAGAAGAGTTTGAAAAGGCGAATTGAATGTATTTCAAATGATGGGAAAGAGAGGGAGGGGTGGGTGGGTAGGTAGAGGTTTAAAGGAGCAGTGAGGGGAGAGGAGAAACCCTACACCACCACCTTTACATTCAGAGTTTCTTGGGTTGTGGGTAAATTGAAGACCACCGAAGGACAAAGATGCAGGGGTAGTAGTGTCAGAGGGGGAGAGCCAGGTTTCTGTTAAGGCTAGTAAATCTAGGGAACGAGAGAGGAAGAGGTCATGGACAGCAGTGGATTTAGTAATATTGCAAACAGAGCGTGCATTCCAGAGGGCGGTACTGAAGGAGGATTTAGATGATACCTTTGCTCAGAAGATTCTGCAGGACTTGGTTGCTTGGGAGTGCTGGCTGTTAATGCTGTTTTAAGGGGCCCAGTCTGAAATATAAGGTCTGAGGTTAGAAAGAAAAAAAAGAAATAAAACACACTATTATGGGATTGGCCCTCTTTCTGTAGCACCCTGCAGGAAGCATCCCCCCTCCCTCTTTAGTGTGCATTTTACTCTTGTTTTCTTGTGTGCAAATTCTGACCCACAAACACACTCTCTGACCCATACACACAAACACACTCTGACCCATACACACACCATACTCACACAGAGACTAATACACACTGACCCATTTACACACAAACACATTGACATGCATACCTACAAACACTCCATTTACACATACTACTACAGGCCCCATACCATGTTTAACATATCAGCAGGCTTAATGGGACACTGTAGACACCAAAATGACTTTAGTATAATGGAGCAGTTTTGATGTATAGATAATGTCCCTGCAGTCTCACTGCTCAATCCTCTGCCATTTAGGAGTTAAATCACTTTGTTTATGCAGGAATACATAACCGGAATACTGGCTATCTGCCTAAATCACTTCGCGTCTAGATAAATGCTAGAAGAGGCAAAGAGGCATCACAGGAACCGGCCGTGTGTGTCGACCCCCAATGCGCGTTTCGCCGGAATTCGGCTCATCAGATCAGTATTGCTGGTTCCTATGATGCCTTTATGCCTCTTTGCCTCCTCTAGCATTTATCTAGACGCAAAGTGATTTAGGCAGATAGCCAGTATTCCGGTTATCACAGGAGCGGCACACAGATCAGAATCCTTATTTGAGATAGCCAGTGAGAGTACTTGGTATCACTAGACAGGTGCCCTTGAAGGCCCAGAAAAGGGACAGTTTAGCCCGAGCCTCGTTGGACACGAGGCACCTGCAGTCTAAATTCAACAGAATCGGTATAGCTAGATCTTACTTGTTGACAGTTGCACTTGAAGGCACAGACTAGCTTGTTTATGGTTTTTTCTCGCTGGCTCTATCACTACTACTGTTTAGTTAGTGAGACGAGACAACTCCGCTTTGGTTGACAGGTGCCTTTGAAGGCACAGATAGGTGTATTTCTATCCTGAACCTTGGAGGACATTAGGCACCTGCTGTACATATTATATCCTATAGATTTTATGCTCTGTAGAGACATTACAGCTAGACTTGACTTTGACAGGTGCCCCTCCAAGCACAGACTAGTTTGCCTGTTTTCTCTCGCTAGGACTCCATCACTATTACTATTCATCTATCTATTTAGTTAACAAATATAGATTCTGGCTTAACTAGAGAGATTAATTGATCATAACTATCCAGAGACATTATTAAATCTCTCTCCCCTCTAGCCAGATAACATTATCAGATCGTATCTCCATGTTAGTACACCTAGTTTCACTGCACTAGCACTCCCCTCTATATTATACTGAGCGACCCCCACCATAAGGGTCTACTCAGTCTCAGAAGGTATTTCCCTTGGAGTCATGGCTACACTATAGAGCTGCCGTTTGGACTGTATAGTATGGTGTTTTACTATATTTGGGTGTGAGACTTAGACAATTGTATCACTCAGGGAATTACCAGTGGAGATTCTAACAACACAAAATAGATAAATTTGTGTTGTATCGATTTCTCCTATACATTTCTGGTACATCACTCCAATACTATTCCATTTATACTGCACTCATTTGGCTACTGTGTATCTTTTTTTCCAGGCACACAGAGCCTTTTGCAGTTATTCTATTTGGGCTGCACTCCTATACCCCGTATCTGTTCATATGTTCTTCACTCCCCTACCCTACTGTTAATTATCCCCACTTTTGTCTATTTAGAGCACACTAGCACACCACTGTATTCAAGTGTGGCAAGTGCAGCATGTGTACGTTCGTCTGTTTTTCAGTCTCATAATAAAGTATATTATAGATTATTTTTTTTAACCTTCATTAGTTTTTCCTTCTTAAAACCACTCTGGGTCAGATTTTCTCTCGTTCTAACAAGGACTAAAAGAATGGTTAAAATTGCAGTGTCCTAGGCATCGTGCAATATAAATCCCACATCCCTGTGTCAACCAACAGCCAACTTATAATTAGTTTTCTAGTTGTGACAGCTCCGCTTTAAGTTTTCTCATCTAATCTCTGTTTGTTTTTGTCATTTTATTCTTACTCGGCTTGAAATTCTCTCGCCACTATTTACTAGATAGGAGGGAAAGGTTTCCTGACAAGCTAACATTATTTATATGAAACAAAAAATATATTTTCTACTTGTCTGCTCCACTTCCTGGTCACGGGTGAGTGGTCCAGTGGCAATTACCAGCCCTGACTATTAATATGTTAAGAAAATCAATTTGCAAAACTTAATATTCTGCTGTTATTGAGGGCATGCAAATCCCGACCAGGGCTCTAAACCATTGTGTCTCTGCATAGCAAAGCATTAAAATTCTATCTGTAATTCTCAGTATATTTTATTTATACAGCGGCTTAGCTATGTTTTAAAATGAAGGTGTGGGATGCAGAAGATATTTTTTTTCTTGATTAATATTGGTTAGTTGAAGCACATTTTGAACCCAGTCATTGAATGTGACTTGGTAAAGTATAAAGAAATTTGCCCAGTTCCTTATCAAAACAAATAATAAAGCCTTTTTTTTTCTAAGTACATGTGTACGAGTACAAATTGAATGCCAAGGGATCCCCCACTAATCTTCTCATGTACATGCCAAAGGAGATGCCAACAGGGTTTTGCTGGCTGATTTGAAATGTAATCAAAATTCTGCTTGGCATGTTTTGCCATCTTCAAAGGAATAGAATGCAGGAGTTAGAATAGTCTTATTTATTTTCTGTACGTTTTAATGGGGTGCAGTTCAGCTGGTCGGTATAAGGAGAATTGGATTTGGTTGCCAGTTACTTACATTTTGTTTTGAATATTTTTATTGTTATCATAACACATATACAGGTAGCATCTTTGTTTGTAATAAAGCAAAGATCGCCCACGCAGGGGCGTAGGTATCAGTGCATACGCATGTTTGCATTTCGTCGCCTACGCAGAGGCTGGTTGGTCATTGCATGTGTGATATAGCAGATATATTCATATTCGTTTTTTTTCCGCATTTTACATCTGTAGGACTTGTAGTGCATCTTTATTGTGGTTAAACAGACGAGTATGGTTTTGAGTGTTTCTGCCCTGTGCATATTAATTTTTGTGCCTGGGGGCCCTGTGACTTTTCGCTAGTGTGTTGCATCGTATCTAAACCGGGGATGCAGTAGCGGCGTACAAATTGTATCTTGCTTCTCTGCTGGTAGCATTCGGTTTGTTGGCTTTCTATTTGTGCCTCTGCTGTGGGGCATATAGCTGACATTTAACCTTGTCCTGCTTTGCTCTGGTACATGTAACTGTAAACTACTTGTGCATCTAAGTATCTGTTGTTTTGTGTAGCTTGGTGTTTCGAGGTTGTGCTTGTCTATTTGCGCACTGTATTTGTCTCCGTAATAAGTGTGGCTATTAGGTATACTGAGCTGGGGTGCGCCAGTGTGTGGTATAGATTACATCAATGGTTCGTGTGTACTAGGTGTTGGGTATCCCTTGGTTCTGGTGCGTTGTAGCCTGCTTGGAGGCCTGGTTGTTACTTACATTTTGTCTGTTTGGAACTATTGTTATTTTGTACAGAATTTGCTAGGTTTTAACGGCTGACCAAATGGAAGGCTGTTGGTAGCTTAAATACAGCTGATATAACAAATTCTGACTTTTTATAAATAGCCCAGTATGTCTCATATAGCAAATTTTATTTTAAACAGTCATTCTGAATATTCTGGCATCTATTTGGCGCATGGTAATTCAAGCTAATTTTTCTTCAAATTTATTCTGCAGTGCACTGTTTTACCGCACTATAACACTCATTGAATAAATGTCGGATTGTTCACTTAACTGAACAGTTTTATCACCGTTCCCAATTTAGGGAAGAATCCGGTTTGATTTTCATATGAACCCCCTCCCCCCCCAAAAAAAGAACCTCATACACAATTTAAATCATTATTCATTAAAGCAGCACTCTAAGGTTATGATAAAATTCCTCTGATTTTTCTAAAATCAAATCTATTTACACGCAATAGCAACGTTAAATGTCTTTTTATGATGTGTCTAGGTAACTGGATGGGATCAGATTCCTGAGGAATCCCTTTAATCTTTCCAGGTGTCTTTAAAAGGTTTGATAAAAGCCCCAGAGGGTTTGCATCCGTAGCCTTCTAGCCCTGTACCTACTGTGGTTATGGTGCTCGGAGCGTCCCTTTAACCACTGGCGCTCGGTACTGTATTTAAATTTTATTGATAAATGAATATAATTGGTCGGCGGTATTTATAAGTCTCCATAGATTTATTAATATTGTAGATTTTTGTTTTATTAAAGCATTTAAACCTATCAGTCCTGGCTGTTTGCTTCTCTGATACGTGTAACAGGTGTAGGCAATGTTTTGTTTTGGCTGATGGCTTCTGCTTCCTTAGTGATGGTGCACCTTGATCTCCGACTGTGATGTTTTTCCATTCTGTGCTGTCTGAGTCTGTAGAATTATAGCTTCTCCGCCGGGTAGGGGTCTCTGCTGAGACGCTTGCTCATCTGCAGTATCACAGAGTGTTTGTGGCCCCTGCAGGGCAGCAATGTTTTCCATTGGATTTACTGCTGTTTGCCTTGTTTATCTGCAAACGACTTCATTTTACAAGCAGCCTTTTCCCAGCTTTGTGTGTTTGGCTGAGGATTCTCTGCTGTGCGCTGTGGCATGGCGCAAAGAGTGCAGATGTGTGATGTATTTTGCTGCTGGGAGGCTTCACTTGAACTCCTGCTGAATGTATTTGTTTTCTGATTGTCCCATCCCACAGTATCTATTACTGTAGTCATGTAGTCGCTGTTTGTTGTATTTTAGGACCGTCAGACTAGATTTATACCTAGATCGTTTCATTCCCGATTTTCTGGTCAGTTAATCCTTTTTACATTTTGGATTGTGAACGTGTATCACAGAGCTCCACAGTGATAAAACTCACAGTATTATGCAGCGAATGAGTGAATAACAGAGCTCCAATCAATATAATTCACATTAACGTGCAGTGTATGAATGTATACATGGGTCAATGGCAAAGTAAAGATAAAAATGCCACAATAATGTGTATAAATAAAATATATTGCCTTTAGTTACAGGTATCCTACTCATTTCCTTAGTTATCTGTAAGTCTCTGATGTTTCTTTAACATTCTTGCCTGATCACAAGCCACCTCTGTCTATTTTAGATAATTTGGATAATGTGGAGAGCGTGAGCGAAGATGTAATGTAGTTCTACAATGAAAAGCAAATGACACTTTAGTGGACTTGTGACCTGCTAACACTGTTTTAATACGTACTATGTAAAATGATTTATTTGAAATTAAATATTTCCATCTTTCTGCCTTGAAGCTCATTATGATTTATAATTAACGACACTCAGAGTATTTGTTAATCATATACTTCTGTATAAAAGTACAGTGTAAAGGCTAGATTTCACTTTTTAATCTATTTAAGGATTGTTCTTCACATGACTCAAAAACGTAACTAATGATTTGCAAGATTAACGAGTGATACATATTGTACCGGTCTCATTATCGGCATTTACGAGGATTCCAAGATTGGATGACCCTCTGAAGGAGAAAGGTTCTTTTGATATTGTTCACATGTTCTGAAGATGGTTGAAACATGCCGTTCATTTAGAATTCTCTTGTGTTCCACAGAGGTTTGGCTCCGCTCTAGTTCCATGGGGATCTCTACAGCTGAAGAACAAGCAGTTTGCTAAAGATTTCCAACCAATAGACAAGGATTGTTGCTGTCCCACATGCAAGCGGTAAGATAAGATGGAGCTGTAATATGTGAAGTATGTGCCTTCTACCGCAGTATGACACTGACAGGAGGGAGCTATGGGACATGGAGTCTGTCCCTCCCAGCACAGGGTGACACAGACAGGAGGGAGCTATGGGACATGGAGTCTGTCCCTCCCAGCACAGGGTGACACAGACAGGAGGGAGCTATGGGACATGGAGTCTGTCCCTCCCAGCACAGGGTTACACAGACAGGAGGGAGTTATGGGACATGGAGTCTGTCCATCCCAGCACAGGGTGACACAGACAGGAGGGAGTTATGGGACATGGAGTCTGTCCCTCCCAGCACAGGGTGACACAGACAGGAGGGAGCTATGGGACATGGAGTCTGTCCCTTCCAGCACAGGGTGACACAGAAAGGGGAGATATGGGACATGGAGTCTGTCCATCACAGCACAGAGTGACACAAACAGGAGGAAGCTATGGGACATGGAGTCTGTCCCTCCCAGCACAGGGTGACACAGACAGGAGGGAGCTATGGGACATGGAGTCTGTCCATCACAGCACAGAGTGACACAAACAGGAGGAAGCTATGGGACATGCAGTCTGTCCCTCCCAGCACAGGGTGACACAGACAGGAGGGAGCTATGGGACATGGAGTCTGTCCCTCCCAGCACAGGGTGACACAGACAGGAGGGAGCTATGGGACATGGAGTCTGTCCCTTCCAGCACAGGGTGACACAGACAGGAGGGAGCTATGGGACATGGAGTCTGTCCCTCCTAGCACAGGGTGACACAGACAGGAGGGAGTTATGGGACATGGAGTTTGTCCCTCCCAGCACAGGGTGACACAGACAGGAGGAAGCTATGGGACATGGAGTCAGCAGTTTTTTTTTCCCTCCCCATTTTTTGCTGCAATGATCTAGATATTCGAGATGATCATCATAATGCACATTTATGCAGGGTTTAATGGGAAATGCTTAGCACAGCTTTAGAGAGTTTAAGTAGACATCATAATTGGCTTAGTCACTGCCTGGCTTGATCATAGCTTACTGCAAGAGGTGCAAAGTCTGTTGATTTGCAGGAATTGTAGGAATATCAAATGTTAGTATCTTTATTTGATTTTTCATATATTTGTAATCCTTTATATAACTTGTCAACCCCAGCCTAGTCTTTCTACTACTCACTTTAATATTTCTATTTATATGTTTGTTCTACCTATAGATACTCCCGTGCCTACATCAATGCCTTGTTTAAAAGTGATACAGCTGCAATGCATCATATTACAATACACAACATTGTTTATCAGGTGAGAAAATTATAGGCTATATTTTTTTTTTAATTGGATATATTTTTTCATGCAAGTCCCATGAGTGCTCTCGTTCTTCAGAGATAGATATATATATAATTTCAGGTTTGTGATAATGTTACCTTTCAACTGCAGGAATGTTGAAATAAATGGTGGAAATATTTTATTTACCACTATAGATTTTTTTTCGTTTTGTTACTGATAAGTGAGTATATGCAGATTGGGGCTCCGTTACCGAGACCTTTGAAGGTGAGCACTTTGATTTTATTTTCAATCCTGGCAGCAGTTGGAAGCCAGTGTAAGTATTGACAAAGTGGCACAGTGTGAACACAGCAGGAGTTTCAGAAGATAAGTCCGGGAGCAACATTCATTATGAATTGTAAGCCGGTAATCTTTCCTGGCCAGTATAAAATAGATTAAAGCGACACTATGGTCACTAGAACAATTACAGCTTAATGTAGGGGTTCTGGTGTCTATAGCCTGTCCCTGCAGGCTTTTAAATTTAAACACTGCCTTTTCAGAGAAAGGCAGTGTTTACATTGATTAGATAGAAATTAGTATACCCCTTGTTATCCTACATTTTGGACCTATATTGTGAGCACTTTAGTACCTGGGTTTATGTGACTGTTTACATGATTTACTTTCTGCATGTTTGCACTTTCTATTTTGTGTGTTTTACATCTTGTTTTTTGAATAAAGATTTTTTTCTATGCAATATTGTATGGTGTGCTTTGCGGTTATTTTTTCGATGTGATCTATGGACCTGGAGAGGCACAGGATTTCTTTCTCATTAAGCCCCCATGCACGTTAATGGCCGCATTTTACACATATTGATCCACATCTGTTGAGCGCTGGATATAGTGTCTAGTGCCGAGGTTGGGCTGAGTATATTATCTGACACTTTATCAACAGCGTGAATTCTAACTACTGGATGACCTTACCGTGCATCACCCCTTAAACTGCAGGGTGACAAAAGTATGAATTATGTGAATTAGAAGTATGTCTTAAACCACAGGTTTTACATGTATGTTCTCTCTTTCATAGTTAAACTTGATGCGCTCTGTAAGAGACAGCATCCTTCGAGGCCAATTCCCACAATTTGTTCAGAACTTCATGAAAACCATGTACAGCGGCAAAGACAAGTATCCTCAATGGGCTGTAGATGCTCTAGAATCCGTCAACATCTCCTTGTTGTGACACCATGTAGATGCAAGCCAAGATGTAAGATTAATTTTTAAGAAAGGACGTATCATAGCTCTTTGTGACATCCTCTTCTCAATAACAACTGTCTGCAAGAAGATGACTTTCAGAAGAGCCTCCAGCACTTAACTGGCAGGCGATGTATATTTTATTTGTGTAATGTGTATTTTTAGATGCACCATACGTGAATATCTATTCTGTGTACTGTATTTTAATTTTGCATATTTTCTGTCTAATTATGCCTTTAAAAGTAGTTTTACAATAAAGCTCTGTACTTTTAGAATTTTAAGTCTTTGATGCATACTGTGCACTGTTCCTGCAATGAATTCCAAGGCTAACTATAGAAAGTTAAAAATATAATCTTAGCCGCTGAGAAGCAAAGAATGCTTTGTGTAGTCGGAGCATTTAGGCACCCAGCAGCCCCCCTCACCCACCTACTGCCGGTAATGTGGATAGAACGAACAAGGAGTGGAGGTAAGTAAAATAAAAAAATCTATATATAGCTATTTATCCCCAAGAAAAAAATCTGTAATTGCTTCATGCAGCCACCGCAGGGTGTGATGTTACTGAAATGAGGGGTGCGTTTAGATTTGTGTGTTGAGGTACAAATGTCACAAGAAGTGTTTATTGCACTGCAGGTCGATGCTTTGCAGATCAATAAGGTGTCAGAAGTCAATTATCTGATTGGAAAACTGTGTTCTTGCCAGAATAACGACCGTATTAACAGACTAATACTAAAATAATGCTAAAATCAGAGATCATGAAATGAAAACTGAGAAACCATCTGAAAAGCTGCAATTGTGAGCTCACATGAGTTGTTAACATTTGTATCTATTAGGTGGAGCTATACAATTCAAAAGATGCAGATGGTTCCATCTCTGGAACATTCAGCTCCCTGCAGAAGTATATGAACTAGACTTTCCCATGATGCTCTGGTAAAATGGTTCACAAACCTCTACAGTGCAAAGGTTAGCCAATACGGATCTAGAAAACCTCCATCCGGACCATTCTGCAGGAGTTGATATCATATCTCACACCTGCTGTCTGCAACCGGAGGGTCAATGCATGATTTATTACCACAATGGCTTTTTATTTATATTTTAATTTTTTACAAATCCTACCCCAATCCTGATCTGAAACAATATGTTGTAGAGATGAGAATCCCAAACTAGCGATGTGTTCATCATCTACATCATCCCAAGACATACCGTCAATTCACAAGTTAAAAAGTGACGAAAAATATATTTCATTATTGTATCCACAACAAAAAAACTTTTGAATAGAAAACTAGTATTGCTAGCACCTTTAAATCTAAGTAATTCAAGAGTTTCTGCCACAATCCCTATTCTCAGTGTGTGCTGGGACATTTATCTCAAACTCTGAGACCGGGATGCAGCCATCCATGCCCAAATACTAATGTTGGTATCGGTGGCACGTTACATAAAACAGGGGAGGGGGAATGAATAAATGCATCCACTGCTTCATGCTGCGAGTAATTTCACAAGTTCTCAGAAAATGCAAAAAATAACCTTAGATGCCATGTACTTGTTTGAGAGGGTGTTAGAAAACCTCATAACATGTAATAGTCACTCACAAATGCAATTGTCTGCTGGGGGGCGGGGGGGTTAACACGTGTAATGCTTAAAAATCTCTGAGAAAAGAAGCAGGGTTAGCAGGATGGGTGATACAAAATCTGGCAGAATCTGGTAAGGAAAGAACATTTACTCAATAAAGAGAAATGCTATGCAATCCATGTTATGAAATAAACAAATGTGCATGCATATTTTTTGAATGTGTTCTCTTTGGGGGTATATGGAAAAAAAAAATGCTTGCAAAAGCTGCAGTTTGTCTGCAGCCTTGCATGTCCTCCATCCTCCCCCCATTCTAACCCAGCTCAAACTTTCAGTCTGTGCCAGAGAGAGATCCAATTAGAGGCTTCTCATTGTTTTCCTGTGCTGCTCTCTCATTGAGAAGGGGGGAAGGCAGGCCAGGGAGATGTTTCTGCCCTAAAGTGTAAAATACCATTTTTTTTTTTTATTGAAATTGTAACTTCTAAACTATCACAAATAGGACAGACTCCAGACACACAAAGCACACCGGCAAGCTGAAGTGCGTTGTGTGTTGAGCGTTCGTCTAACCCCTTAAGGACACATGACGTGTGACATGTCATGATTCCCTTTTATTCCAGAAGTTTGGTCCTTAAGGGGTTAAAGAGGAATCATCAGGTTTCTGATATTAACCATCAGTTTCCTTTCCCCACCCAATAAACGCTCTTGAAACATGTACAGTAGGTGAAGGTATAAATTACACTTACCTTAGCACTTTTTTGCCATGTTTTCAAGATGCACTCCAGAGCTCGTTAATGCATCTTTTTAATAATTTAATTTTAGCTCTCATTTGAAAGGCACACATATAAAAAGACACGACCCACTGTTCATTTCTAGTTGGCTATAGGATTATGCAAATATCCATGAAGTGAGGGTTTCCCTTTAATTTGCTAAATATGGAAGCATTTTACAGAGGGAAAAAAAGAATGTCACATTGTATTTCAGGATATGAATTTGGAAGCTGGAAAATCTCTGATAACCTGCACCTAGTTATTAATTTATAGAAAAGATCATAAATGCATAAAATAATCTATTTTCTGAACTAATTAATTTGTGTGATAGACATAAGCCCATCACATGGATTAAAGAAATCCGAGAGCTCAAATGGGAAACAGACTAGACGTTTTCTATCTTCTCGAACTGTAATTACCCGATTCATTTCCTTTGGCTTTTTGCTTGAATTCTTGCAATTAGGATTCTGCGTTCAACACGTTAAAAGAACATTTAAAGAACGGCCAATTACCTGCTTAAATCCAGTCAATGCCTTTTCAGTTATTCTCCAGATCCTCTTTACAATCACTCACGTCTAGTCAATGTATTTGTCTGTAAACATCATTCATGGTAACCACATATTCTGTCTCCAAACACTTCTTCATCTGGATTACCATCTTATTCTTCTACCTTATGTGTAGTGACTTTCACCCCTCTGTCAATATATTCATTGGCTACTTGTTTCATGTAGAACTCGGTTCGAAGTTAGACAACTTGTTTCTACTGAAGAGCGAAAGATGTATTACCCCTGATCGCGGATATAACCCATCAAAATTCAGAAGCAACTACGAATCAATTTTTTTTTTTTTATTTTTTTAATTTAAATGTTTTTATTTCTCGTGTACAAGGAAATGGGGTACAGAAAAGAAAGGGAATGTTCAATGATCACATTTCAGGGTTACATGAACTGTGCATCTATGGTATATGTCACATCACATACATAAACATAACATACATAAACATAAGCATCCCGGTGTTAAACTTAACCGGGGTTGCATCAAGGTCATACCGCAGGGTGTACAATTTCCCTTTAATGAAGGTCGGATAGTAAGAGGTTGTCCCCCTACCGTCTCGGGAATGGTAGTATGTGTGAGTAACCCTGCAATCAGCAAACAACAAACAAACAATAGGGGGGGAGGGGGAGGGGGAAGGGGGGGTTTTATTGACCCTGCCTAGGTCGAGGTAGGTGTTATGTATTTCCTTTTAAGCTCTTTCCGTGATAGACTTATTTGCCATTCCGTGGCTCGCTCTTCCTATCTGACCGCTAAGAGTTCTGTCTTACCCGGGTCTGCCTCTTGGGCGGTTATGTCCTGGTGTTAGTCCAAAACTCTGTCCAGGGTTCCCAAGTCTTAAGGTGTCTATTTCGTTTCCCCATTAACGACCAGTGGATGTCCTCTATCTCCCTCACTCCCTCTACCTTTTGTACCCATTGCTCTATGGTTGGGATGCTAGGTTTACGCCAGTACAGTGGGATCAGGGCGTTTGCCTCCCCTAGCAAAATGTGCAGTAAGTGTTGCCTGTGCGATTCCTTAAATGTACGTGGCCAGCCGAGGAGTACTTGGGGTGCCTCTAGGCGGATGGTTGGTGCTAGTATCTTTGTAATCTCAGAGATTATGGTTCGCCAGAAACGCTGAATGTCCCGGCAGCTCCACCAAATGTGTAACATATCCCCTCTGCTGGCTGAGCATCTCCAGCAGATATTGTCAAGTGAAGGGTTTATAGCATGCAACACGGCTGGTGTTCTATACCATCTAGTAACCCGTTTATAGAAGGTCTCTTTGCGCATGACACTGATCGAGGTTTTGAGACCCGTCTCCATAATACTGGACCAGTCCTTGTCCGAGAGATGTATGTGAAGGTCTGTCATCCATTTCTGTTGGAATGTGGGAGTCGTGGGTTCTCTGTCTGCCGACTGAAGGATGCGGTATATTTTAGATAGGGGCCGTTTACGGTCGCCCGTTGGGCCACAAAGGAGTTCAAAGTGCGTGTCTCCTCTCTTGGTCCAAAGGGGGAGGACGTGTTTCGTCAGGAAACCCTTAAGCTGTGCTCTGGTCATAATGTCCAGGAGAGTGGCATGTCTCTGTGTTACTTGTCCGTCTTTAAATTGAGGTGGGTCATCCTCAGTTAGTAGTTCAGTAATGACTGGTGAATGCGTTCCCGTGAGGCGGGCAAGTGAGGGCCCTCCCCATCCTCCCTGGAAGTCGGGATTATAGGCCGTAGGGAAAAATCTAGAGATTCCAGGGGACAGTCCCCACTTATCTTTGTGCCGTCTCCAGATTGTGAGCGTGTTGTGAATGAGTGGATGTCTTGAGGGGGTCAGGGATTTGAGTTGGCATGTTTGCCACGGGAGGGTCGATAGAGGGACCGGTACAAAGCTCTGTTCTAGATCGTACCACGATCTTTTCTTGCTTGTGTCTGTCCACTCTTTTAGTCTGGTAAGTAAGACTGCTACGTAATATTTATATATGTGAGGTAGTCCCAGGCCCCCCCTGTCCGTGGTGGACGACAATGTGGACAAGGCAAGTCTTGCCGGTTTGCTTCCCCAAATATATTTAACGAAGATAGTCTTCATTCGTTTAAAGAATGACCCTGGGAGTGGAATAGGCAAGGCCTGTAGTATATATAGGATTTTTGGCAGTACCATCATCTTTAAAACACTGATCCTGCCCATTAGGGAGATATGGGGTAGATCCCATCTGTGCAAATCATTTTTAACGACCTCTATGAGGGGAGGGTAGTTGATGTTGTATAGTTCCGTGATATTAGTAGTGAGTCGTACCCCCAAATAAGTCAGGCCTGACCGTGTCCAGGGAAATGTGTGGGTTCGTTGAAGGGTGTTTTGCAATGTTGCGGGTACAGAGATTCCTAGGATCTCGCACTTATCCGCAT